GTGCTATTTGAAGCCGTGAGTGCGTGGGTATTTGAGGTTTGTTGTCCAGGGCCTATACTTTCAAAAAGGTTAAGAGAGCGCAAGTTCATGAGCCAATCATTGACGGCCTTCCAAGCAAAATCCACCAATCATAGACAAGAATATAGAACGTAAGTACTTACGTTCACTTAGCGAGTTTTGAAAGTATGGCCCCAGTGACGCAATAATATCAAAACCTGGAGCTACTTAAAATTATGTTAGAAATTTCCCCTTCGATATGATGTCCTTCTGTCGAGAAAATGTTAAGTGATCCGAAATACTAATAAAGTGATATACTTCTGTTAAGAAAAATGTAAGCCACTCAAAACATTATTTAATGGCTTGTTCTTCTTAATGATGTACCTACTTTCTGTTTAGAAATATTTAAGCGATATAAATAATAATTGAGGGCTGTCTGCTCTATATGATAATCTCCTCGACTAGTTGTACTTCTATCAACCATAGTAAAGGTTGTATCAACCTCAGTAAAATACTAATTAAGAGCGGTCTGATAAATGATAAGCGTCTCGACAGGTGTCGCAATGACTGTTTTTTCTTCACCATGACTCGCGAGTTAAGCATCACTGAATGACGGCATAATGTGCCGCCTCTCTCGTCTGTCTACTAATGGCCTTTTTTAAATTCAATTTTTTTTTCTAAATTATTGAAGATTTTTACCGGGCCGTCAATATTTCTCGCATAGCTGCGCTTTCTTGTGCACTTTTAGCCAAAATTGTAGCCGTGCTGTGGTTTTTCTTTTTTCGCCGTTTCATGTTTTATTTCAAGGCTCACACCGAGGTTATTTTCTCTCAATTCTCATACTTTACTTTTAAACTCAATACATTTTACTCATTACTAAATTATGCTTTAAATATGCTTTTATTATAAACTCACTGATTATTATTGTTGCTTCATTAGCATTCTACCTTGGATAACTGATTTGCGAATGAGACGTGTATTTTGCTTTCGGGGCATAAAAATTAAGTGCTCTAGGCTGTTGAAATTTGACAGGAGTTTCCTCTACTTTTTCCGGCTCCGCTATTGCGCTAAAGTTGTGTGCTAGTCTGGCAATTTCTTCAGCCTTCTGGCGCTGCCAGTCATGTCGTCGGTCACTGACACCCTAGCTGCCGGAGCCTCAAGAATAACGTTCAGAAAAGTCTCGATATCGACACAATAAAAATTCTTAGGAGAAAGTTTGCGATGCCTTTAATGTCGCCTCTGTTCGGCAGCTATGGATTTATTCAATTTTGAAGAGGTTTATTGATCAACGTTCATTTCTGGGTAACCTACGCAAGCCGTGCAATGCCAAAGCTAGGTTTGGCAAATGTTCGTCATAGTCTAATAATAATTACAAATTATGTCCTGAGTATTCAGGTGCAATATTGCATTGAAAAGTGTGACACTGATTTCCCTTAACAGGTATAGTGTACTTTTTCTTATTACACTTCCGATTGTTTAGCGGTTAATAGCTATTCTGGTTCCTTCCTGTTCAATGGTTTAAATATTCAACGTCTGTATGAGGAGTCATTTCCTTCGAATTTAGGTTCGATGCTTCCTTAATATTAAGCTATTTTAGAAACTGACTGAACTCACCTCACCCAACTTCCATACATGATCTCATGTTTGAGTCAACAGATATGGTTTGTTTGACAACTGTATTCCTGTGAGTGCCCAATATCTACGTTGTTATTCATGAACCTTTATATTACGTGTGTGAATTACTTAGTTAATAAGATTATTTCACGTCATACAGGCATAACTAAATGCTTCGTGCGCTTGACTGTAGTGACTTGAACAATATCTACGTTGTTATTCGTGAACCTTCATATTACGTGTGTGTATTACTTAGTTAATTAATTATTTCACGTCATACAGGCATAAATGCTTCGTACGTATGACTGTAAGTGACTTGAATACCATTTGATAGCTGAGACTTCTTGGAAGGCTCGTGACACACGTATACCTCCGTCACATGGATGTCAATGATGACGTACACAAGACGTCACTTCCTGCACTCTGCGGATGCCAGCTTACCATGCGCTGTCTCTCAGTGACGGACCGAGTGTCAGCAAGACTGTGTTGTATAACGTCTCGTGCGCGATATAGCGTCCATATGTTGGCGTTATGATGCTGTGTGTCAGTGTCTTTGTTTCAGTACATTTTAGATTAAGTGCGTGATTATCCAAGGACTATTTATTTATTGTTTGTTTATGTAGTTTGGTTTATGTCAGTGTCTTTGTTTGGCTACTGTTGGAATTCAGCGTGCGATTCTTTTGTATATGAGAGTGAGAGTCACTTTATCACTGTTTGTTAACATAACGAGATGCGTGTCATATGGTATAAGCGTCAGTGTTTAGTTATAGATTGCAATGGACGGTTTCCTGTAAATTTGAATGAGACTCAGTATATGTTTAAGTTGGTTTACACACCGGAAATCACAACGCTTTTAAGTTGCTAAAACAATGCAAATATTATAATACTTTGTTAACGCTTTGGTTTAAGCTTAATATTGTGTAAACGTTTACAGTTGAGTTAAAGAAGAGACGAAATCTTGTTGGAATCTAAAATTGCGTAACAACCCGCACATCTGTGATTTGCTCGTAATTATAGTAATTTTCAGCTCAGTTCTTTACTTTCGTACAATGGTGAGTTGGATTCTATCAAACCAATGTTTTATGAAAAACAACGTTTCATGCTTTTACTCTATGGTTATGAATGAACCTGTACTGTCCTGTAGCGTTGGGTTCGTTTTAGCTCGGATCATTTCAATGGAGTTGTAACGTTTTAATAATCTTGAAAGCTGGGCTACTCATGAATTTGTATTCACTCAACATCAGCTATCATTGCGAATCATGACATTAATCTATGGTGAGTGTTGCTCGCGTCATTTCGGTGCAGCATATAATGAAGCCATCAATCTCGATGCATGTCTCCCATCCATGAATCTACGTACGAATGATTTAGCTCGTATAATAAATCTCGTTGTAGCTCGGTGAAAAAATCTGCACCATAAATCGGCCGGCAGCAATGCAAGCTACGTGCTGCTGCCATCAGTTTCGCTCCACGGCCGCAAGTTGCGAGAGTCTTCGCGCCGTCTTGCAACATGTAACCTAGATAGCTATTAAAAATTCGACGATTTTTTTTATAAATTCAACGAATATTTAAATTCAACGGGCTAATACATCGCCGCAACTCGGCGCTCTGCGCGTCACAAAGCGTCGTTTGCGTTACCATTTTTTCTCGCACGTGTGCACAGGCGAAAAATTTGCTGGGAATTCAAAATATTCTCGATTTTAAATGGCAGAATTATTATTTCTCGTCTATGATGAATTTTGCCAGGCGTCCCTGAGCGATGTATTTGTATCTGTTATGTCGTGATGGCTTGAAACTTCGTGGCTTAATACTCTTCAGAGATGTGTCTCCATGAACACGAGTTTGTTGCATCGGCTGAAAATTACTAGAAATCGTATTGCTTCCCTAACCTCCTGTTTATTACAACCCCCTTAGATGGTTTACAATGCAACAATATAATATCAATAAATTCAATACTGGTATTCTTCTTAAAACATTTACGGGTAACTGCTTGCCTATAGTAACTGTCATCTGTTGGGGCATTTCTTTTAATTTAAAATTTCTGCTCATTATCTTCAATAATCATAGGATATTTTAGATTGTTTATTGATTTATACATCGTATACACACTTAGAATATTTCCCATTCGTCGCGATGTCGATTACTCGTGTAATTTATGTTATGGTATGTAACTGAATAGAATTCGAAAAAGATGTCAGTTATTAGAGCACGTTCTAATGTTAGTTTTCCACTTGCTTTTAATTGGTGTACTCGATTTGATCGCTAAAGAATCGCTGGAAGTTGATCCGCATGCATTTTGAACTGCCTCAAAACTGGCATATGACTAACGTTTTTAATCCTCGGCCATAACTTGTTAGGCTTATCCAGGCCTGTTACTCAACAGCACTCAGGACGCCCACTTACACCGACGCAGTTCTGGTGCCTGACAAAAAAAAACTCATGTCCCACACCCGCCGTGGCGTTCAACATACCACTCGAAACTGCGATCGATGTGCGCATGAAATCGCTTTTTTTAAGAGCGGAGGGAAAGTGCGAAGTGAGCGCTTTTTTATAATGTGGGAAATTTTAAGATCTCTAAGCAGCAAATGTTTTTCATCTTATTTTCATGACGAGAAAACGAATAGTGTCATTTCTTTGGTAGAAATAGCGACGTTTCTATTTCGTCCATATTTGCTCTAAGCTCGTATAACTGGCTTGATTATTTGAGGTTGTACCTGGGACCAGTGCGCCGGATTTCCGCTAAACAGTGTCCCTTCTCCAATAATAAAACGATTATGGGAGCTTAGAGTTGAACTAAACAGGGTGATTAATTATTCTATAATAATTGTAATACATATAATATGAACTGCTTCGACATTACGGCTGTTGTGGTGTTGCTAATTACCATGCAAAAATTATTCATTGCTGCGTAGTGCGCTCCGACGGTTTTCTTTAAATTTTTGCCTTTTAAATGACTTCGACTTTTCAACGCCGCCTTACCATTATAGCACCGACGTAGATAGCCGTATACCATGGCATGTTCGCATGCTGAGTGCCATCAACATAGCTTGTTGTCTGAGTGTCTTCGAAATGACGTGTTGCGTGTTTCATCACGTTAGTGTATCACGACACACTAAAATGAAATTGTCGTATTTCCATTACCCGATTATTTACAGGTCTCCTGCCGTAATTGTGTCACGATTATATTTTGCTGAAGTACGGTTCTCGCCTCATAACTAATGTGGAAAACTCCTCTGCAGTAGTCCCAATAATAACAGTTTTTTCAAAAGTACGAGACTAAAATTTGTTCAAATGTTGCGAGGAAACCTACCGTGCTGACATGGTTCTATTTAATTATAATTTTGTGTTTTTTTTGTAAATTTTTTAATTTTCTTTTAAAAGTTGCAATGGAGCTGATGAATTAACTAGTGGAACCCTAACGTACAGCCATGGTTAATTGTAATCTTGATTTTGTGTTGTTGCAGAGCACGGTACCAGGATACATGTATGAGCGATAACACCTGGTGTGAGGGTGAGTATATACGCAACTGCATGACGAGAGTGAGTATAGTAGATTTATCCGTAATTTTCATGTTATTTTCACATGCCGTTCATGTTATTTTCACATGCCGTGCAATAATTGTTTTGTTAATATAGATTATTGATTATTGTATAGCTACATGTGGTGGTTACAAAAATCATCATATTGAATTTAAATGATATGGACATTATTGAATTCATTGATTTGTTCTCAGGATTTATGACGTACATACAATCTGTCTATTATGCTATCCAAATTTCTCTCAAAAGTTTTGATTGTCAATAGTTTAATTGTTACTTGCTATGCCTGTTGAAACTTCTAAGTTCTCATTAGGTAGGATGTTATGAAATAGGTTTTTATGATAAACTGCTACGTGTATTAAATTCCATTCGTATACTTATTAATATTAACATTTGAGATGAAGGGCACGGTGAATTCATTCTGTGTTGGACGCGACCTCTGCTCATTAAGTAGCAAGCGACCTCTGCTCATTAAGTAGCAAGCGACCTCAGCTCATTAAGTAGCAAGCGACCTCTGCTCATTCATTAAGTAGCAATGAGGGTTAAGTGCAGTAATCCGTATTGATATACAACTATATAATTATACTGTGGTGGCGTCACTGACATTTATTAAATAATGATATAAGTAATTATAAGATATACAATATCATAATTATTCTTCATAAATTTGCACCCTGCTGTACCTTATATACAATAAATGTGCTCTATGTTTAACTAAAACTTGAAGTGTTTGAAGTGTTGAGTCGAAAAGTAATTCTTTTTACTCTAATTTGAAGTCATTAGCCGCGAACTTGGTATGAACGGTGATTAGGGGCAGCATACAGGATGTTATTGCAGAACACAACATCCGTTATACGTAGAAACGGATGCTCACCAGCCTGCACTTGGAAAACAAACATCGCAGTTTCAACACATCTCAGTTAGAGTTCATAAAGTTTAAAATTCGTTATAAGAATTCTTTCTCTAACATATCGCATGAACGAAATATTCGACTGTCTATTTAAACCGGCAAGTAAACATAATCGGATTTGTTCTGTTGCACTAATGACCTCTTCTTTATCAGAAGAGCAGAAAACAAAGGAAGCTGGAAGCTGTTTTCACTTGCAGTTTTGCTACCAGTGCTACGGTTGCTGGTGTAAGGTTCTGAATGTTCTCAACACAAGCTTGTGAGTAGTGTAATGTTTACTGCTGTATAGGTTTTTATTTCATCTATAATCATAATGCAATAATTCCACTTGCCGCTCATTCTTCATTTTCGACTTTGGTGTGTCTTGTGTTTTGAGTCAAAAATGAAGAGTTTAGAACAAATGAACGCTGCTTTCTCTCAGCGCTATACTCCCGTGACGCGATGGTCTTCTCACGTAGTTGACATTTCGCGATATGTGAAAATTTCAATTATTTGCAGTTACCCTGGTCAATTTAACATTATCCGTTAAACTGATTTTTATGAGCTAGTTCACTGAAAACCAAAAACTAATTTTGGTTCTAGCGCCATCTTGGGCAAGAGCACATTTGTTCAAAATGAATCTCTAAATTTAGCCGTCATATTAATGTCTGTCGGAACATTTATTTATGAACGTGGAGGCTCAGTTAAGGAAACTCCATGCTAGTTCTAATCATGTGATCTGCATTTTAAATTAGACTTAATTTAATAATAATAATTTAATAATTTGTCATTGGGGATTCTAAGCGCCTAGACTATTGATCAATACATTGAACGAAACTCGCTAATATCCCTGATAGTTTTGACCGTGGGATGTGCTCGAGGAAGGAGGTTTCTTAGAGATTATAAGACTGGAATTCACTTAGTTTAAAATTCATTCCTCAATACGATCTTTAATAGTGGTCTTTTGAGCTTCAATTATGAAAGAACCTTTGCATCATGTCCTTTTGAATTATTTATTGTGCCACTGACGAATCATTAACTCTGTCAACTGGATGAAACATTCCAATATTGTAGTGAGAGTTGAATTTCTGTGGCCCTGACGCACGTTAAGCAATTCAAGTCTCCACGTAATGGGGCTCTTGAAATTAAGTTGTGATGGCGGTGGATGAACAGAAGCCAGTAAATCTGCCTCGGCGCTAATAATAAATAATATTCCTGTGCGAGTTTTTTATACTAGCGTATAACTTTTTATTTTTAGTATAACTTTTTATACTCGCGTCGTGACACAACTTCGTGCGTGAGCACAGCGAGCGAGCTGTACGCTTGTTATCCGCATGCTGCGCACCAGGAAATTGGTTAAGGCTGTAGTGAGAAAAGTCAATAGTACGCTTATATTTGACGTTCGATGATGCCTGTTGAGTAGCTAGTAAACTGAATATTTACGTTGCATTTATTTCTTGCTATCGAGAAGTTCCTTCGTCGCTGTACATCCCCGCGCCCACTCCGGCTGTGATGGCTTGTCGCTGAGCATATGGCTAATGGCATATGGCATGACCCTCTGCTAATGGCTAATGGCATATGGTGCTAGTGGCACCGCGCCCCGCTAGTGGCACCGCGCCCCGCTAGTGGCACCGCGCCCCGCTAGTGGCACCGCGCCTCGCTAGTGGCACCGCGCCCCATTAATGGCAATGTCAGCACGCTATAATGGCAATAATGGCACCGCGCTAATGGCAATAATGTCATCGCGCTAATGGTATAAATGGCACCGCGCTAATGGGATGTTGCGTGCTGCAGGCGAGCTCCCCCAGCGAGCGGCGGTCGGGCAGGCGTCGGTAGCTCCGGCGGCGACGCGCGGGGGCGCCGTACAGCGTGAGTCCTGGGGCGCCATACATGATGAATGTCTTGAATGAATTGTATTGCGGGAGCCCTGTTGTGTGTCATTCATGATGGCTACACAGGTGTTTGAAGGGCAGAATTACGGACAAGTGGGGTTTTTAGGTTTCAACCATGGGCCCTTTAGGGTTGAACAATTAGGTTTCAGCCATGGGCCCATTGGGCAATTAATTTTTGTATAGTTTTTTTTTAATTCTGTGTGAGGGCCGTTATCTTTGTTGTTTCGTGCGTAACTCATTTATGTGCGCACAATGAATTCCTTTATGAAAGACCGGTCCTGCTTATAATTAATCAAAATTAAAAGAAACGTTAGTAAATACATTATATATTCCGCTAGCCAAATCGTGCCGGAGGCTATAGCTGCATCATCAGCTCAAAAATATAGGTAATACAAGTACAATATTTTCCTGAGCTGATGATGGGGCTGGACTTCTTCGGTTAAGATATGATGAATTTGCTGGGCGGTGGCTTTGCTTCATATTCTTTGTGAAGAACGAATGATACAAGTAGTGATGATTAAATTACGTCCAGGGATTTAAGTTCAAGAGGCAATGAAAGCGTAGAAAAAAGATGGGGCTAAATCATGCTGTATTGATATGAATTCATTCCTTGCAAATTAGTGTCTATCACAGGAAAATACATTTGCCACGATGCGACACTAAGATAATAATTTAAATATTTTCATTTATTTGACTGGTTGTTTTAATTATTTACAGGAAGAGGTGAAGGAGAAGGAGCGTGAAGAAGTAGAAGAAGAAGAAGAAGAGTTGACACTATCTCGATAATGGCGACGATAGACGGCAGACCAGCTCTCTACGAGCTCTCTCTCAAGCAGCTCAGAGAGCTCATGGAAGAGAGAGGGCCCACTGCCGTAGAAATGGTCAAGGAATATGGCGGCTGCGCTGAAATATGTAGGAAATTACACTCGAACCCACAGAGAGGTGAGACTAGTACAACATTATCATATAACATTGTTTTGTTAGGCTGTGGTCAGTCTTGCTCAACATCATCCCATTGCATCACTTGAACAATTATGTTATTTTATGTCTTTGAAAGAACTCTTTTGTTTGCCTACGCTATATGGATGGTCTCGCTTTAAGCAGTGCAGGAAATAAGGTTTCTTCAATACTTCAACAACATTAATAGTGAAGTTATTCGTCTTTGGCCGGTGACATGCCTCGCGCCGTGCTTACATCGCATCAATATGCATATTTATTCGTTGATCAATATTGCATGGCAGAATTTTTCCGTTGAAACAAGTTAGATTGAAGACCAGAGAATAAATTCATTAATATATGATGCTTACAGTATTGATATTAATTCGAAGTTCTATGAACGGATTTTTTTCACTTAAAACATTCAAACTAACGTATATCATTGATGCACCATTCATCAGACGATTGTATTTCTTGCTTGATAATTTATCGCTGACTTGATGATTGTTGTTATGGTTTCATCCTAAACATAAAGCCATGCATTTTCCTAACGCATGACATGTTGTGCAGGCTTGAGCGGTGACTCCGCTGATATTCAACATCGTCGCGAAGTATTTGGTTCTAACGTGATCCCGCCCAAGGCTGCGAAAACCTTCCTTATGTTAGTGTGGGAGGCGCTACAAGACGCTACCCTCATCATTCTGCAAGTCGCTGCTCTCATCTCATTAGGATTATCATTCTATAAGCCCCCAGAAAGCGATGATGCAGGTTTGTACATAGAATTAACCTGTAACTTGCTTCCTAATCTCAATTCTTTTCTAACTTACTTCTTAATCTCAATTAACTTGGCTGCTTCCGTTTTGTTTGTTTACAGATGTCGTTGCAGCGAACGTCTCATCTTGGGGTTGGGGCTGTAGTTAATCAAATTAACTCGCATTGAGCTTAATTTTATGACAATGCACTTGTGTAATGCGTGTAAAATTCCTTCGTCTTGTCGTCTCCAGGAATATATATTCCTTATATACGTTTATGCAGAATACCGGTGACAGCATTGTTGCGTACTTCCGTCCTAATAATATCAATCATCTGAACCTTAAATGGCCTGTGTTTTGATGAGAAAAAGAATTGCGTTCAAATTCATCCTTAATTTGCGGTTTGAACTATGGCCGTGGTGCACGAAGTATATGCTGGCTTGTCGCAGAATTCAATTTTGCGTTGTGTGCCTGGAATAAGTTCCTCTCATTTAGGCCGTCGGTGTGTCCTTGCATTTATGTCCACACTCGCAGTCCCTATAGTCGAGACATTGTTCACTCTACTATTACTGATCTATTTCTTCTTCCGTTGAGTTCACTCTGTACAAGTGGGCTATAAAGTCGACTCGAAATTTGTTTTGAACTCGACAGAAGCTTTTTTTTACGTCAGATTAGCGAAATAAATAGCTCGAATATAATAATTTTATGAATCTATTTTCGCTGTTTACAACTAAAAGAAACGGATTTTTGTGGAGCTCCGGGAACAGTAGGTTTGCTTACGTTAGAGTTGTGATCTGTTCTTGAAGATTTACTCACGTTACTAAGAGCGTTATGCGCGATTAACTCGTTATAACGCTCGCCGGTCTCGCCATTCTCTAAGGTTGGAATACGAAGAGCCACACAAGTTCGATATATCCTTTGTCTGATGATTGATGTTGTTTGTTATTGCCATCTGCCGGGACCACAGACGAAGGTGAGGCATAATCACCTCTAACAACTCACCCGCTCTTTCTCTTCCAAATTCTCTAAAGTATTTATCATGTGTAACGTTCTTCCCGTTCACTCAAACGTTCGTTTGCTGTCGTTGCTCAGATCTCAGTAGTTCTAAACTCTAAAGTGCGAATGAGTTATCTAACATCAACTGTACATATTAATTGAAGTACGATTCATTTGAGTTAAAATGTCTTCGTCCTAAATGAAAAATATTAAACGTGCATTGCGCATGTCGTTAATGTACCTACATTGTTTAATCAATGACTTAGGAAGGCTTGAGGATACAGTTTCATTTAATTGCGGGTTTTTTTGAACATTGCATAATGCGCTTTTTTCTAGCTTAGTAGGAAGGCCATAGTAGGAAGTAGCTCGTATACTAGCCATACGAGTTACGGAAAAACTCATTTTTCAAAATAGCACTATAATTTGAACAACTTCAATTATTATAGTTCAGTTCAAATCTGAACAAAGTTGGATGCCGAAGCTTCGTAATGTTAAAAAGTAAATTAAGAATAATGATGAGCTGGTCTCTTAGCGAATTTTTTTTTTTTTTTTTTTTTTTAAATTTCGCCGCGATTTCTCGCTAAATAGCGAATTGTCTTTTTCTGGGGAACTCTCTAGAATTGAAGGCATTTGTCTGTCAAGATTGTGATTAATTTAGTCAAGTTCAATAATGACTGAATTATTTACTGCTGTATTCTGCAGCGATTAGGATTTCATCCATGCTCAATTAAATTATTAAAATGTATTCATTCATGCTAAATTAAAATGTACGCGAATGATGGATATTATCCAAATCGATCCGTAAATAAGAAGTGCTAATGAGAAATTCTAAAGATCTGTGCAGTGTATTATTCCTGATCTATGTGGACTGTTTTATGTTTAACTTTATGTAGAACTTAGACTCGATCTTGTGGTTGTTTTTGCACTTTCTCTTGCTGTACGGTGTTTACAATGAATCTTATAAATCAATAACCTCATTGGAGTTGACATTTATGTTCGTTACCGATCGAACGATTTCGGTTTGTCAAGCCAAAGGTTTCGTAAGAAAACCAGTTTTTCAAATTTAGTGCTAAGTGGTTTCTTTAACCGTTTATAACCAGTATTCTGCAGTATTGAGAGACATTGTAAATATTTTAACGTTTTAACTGTGAAAGTATCTTTCGGTTATAAGTGATAAATTTCGAAGTGAATAAATTTATTGCCAAAAATATATATATTTTCACTTGTATACATTACTATAAATATTACTATCTCACAAGTCTGAAGGCGTGAATAAATATATTGCGAGAGAGGTTCCAATTGCTTGGAATGCCACGCTGCTCACATCATCCAACGTATCATGTTTCCCGCTATAAGTTATATACAGAACAATGAATGGGTCATCTTGTCCTAATATTTACACACCTTCGGCACACGCAGCACTCACACGCCCTTTCTCCAAACTTTTCTGCCAAAATGAGTCAGGCTGACCCACATAAGAACGAAAAGTTAATCGGTATTTTAAGCACCAAGTCCCATATCGATTAAATAGTCCCATAACATCGCAACGGTCTTCGTATAGACGGTGGAATTTTGCTCTGCAGAAAATTTTTTATTTTGTGTTTCTGCGAAAATTTTCGAAAATCTGCAATTTTTTCCTTGTAAAAATGAAACTCGCATTCTTTTAATATTGAACATTCTCATAATGTTGAGCATTCTCGTAATGTTCAACATAAAGTGGCATATAAATTCATAGCCTCGAATAAAACTGTCGTATATAAAGTTGCTAAAATTACAATTTACCGAATCTTATATCATCACGATTCTCTATATAATTACTATTGCTTACTCTTCGCGGTATGCACAGGATATTATATTAATACTTTAGTCGTCTGCTCATGTTGTAGGGATACGTTGATCCTCTTAAATTTCTGTGTGTTTGCTCTGTTTCGTGATGTGCAAATAACGCTTCTAATTAAAAGTTTATTATTTTTAGTTAGTGCAAAATCTAACAAATAATAGTCCAGTGTATAATGTCTCTAGAGATCAAAATATTCGCTTAACGAACACTCATCTTATCTATGAACATATTTTCCCCGGGCACCTAGTGAGTTAATGAACCAGGGGCCATACTTTCAAAAAAAGTTAGGAGGTCGTAAGTTCATCAGCCAATCATTGACGGCCTTCAAAGGAAAATCCACCAATCATAGACAAGAAAATAGAGCGTAAGTACTTACGTTCACTTAGTGAATTTTGAAAGTATGGCCCCAGTGTTTTAGGCTGAAGTGTTACTTGCTGGTGCTTTTAATTCCATCTATAGGATTAGAATTACCGGATATTTTTTATTGATAGAATAACATGATCACTGTATCTAATGCACAACTTAGTTCGTAACCACGCACTATTATTAAATGGATCACTTATCTATTATGTCAGTGGGACTTGTGTGAGTTTGTTAACACTTATTGTCTTATCTGGAAGCGTTCTGCACTAGGCAGTCACAACTCGGGTTAAAATCCTCCCATAACACCTGTATTGTTCGTGCAATTTTTTCAATGTGTTCAACATTTCGCTCCTGTACATTGTACCGTATTCCCTTAAATAACTTTTCCTAACGGCCTTGACAAAATCAATATTTTAGTATTAACCTAATTTTATTCAGATATTAAAAAATAAACCCTAACAAAATTAACAAAGCTTTCCACGTGTTTCACGTAAAATTATATACAATATTATATCGTCGTCCGTTATTAATGTTCATGTTATGTTTTGGACATGAGCTTCATTAAAGGTCATGTATATTAAGTTTTGTGTTTTTGTGGATCTATCATCGGTGCTCCATATCCATATCATATCTATCATTGGTGCTCCGACACGCGATAAATTATCTTTTCTTATATATCAACACTACACAAATCATCGATGAGAATCTGATCCTATTTTCCAAAAAAAAAACGGTCAATTTCATTCAAATGAAAAATTTCCATTGTTTCTGAGCGGCTTCAAAATGTTCTCTGGATTTCCGATTTTCAAATGGTTTTGTTTACGGTTGATCATGGTTGACTGCACACACGACTAGACTGTGACGTGTTGTCATTACGTTACTACGATAATTTCATCGACGTGACCATTAACCATGACATGTTTACCACGTTATAATATTACTATCTCTAATTGCAGACGAGACTAACATCCACCGAGACGTTTATTGTTACACTTGTTTCTATATTATTATCATAATTACAGACGCCACCAAGTGACCATTAACAATGACATGTTATTACCACGTTATAATATTATTATCATAATTACACGCGTGACGATGGACCGTGACGTGCTACGTCACTATATTGATTATTGTATTACCATTACAGATATAACGGTTCTGTTATACAATTGCAGATATAACTGTTCTGTTATACCATTGCAGATATAACTGTTCTGTTATACCATTGCAGATATAACGGTTCACCACGACCCGGGCGAGGAGAAGGCAGGCTGGATAGAAGGCGTGGCGATCTACGTGTCTGTGGTGGTGGTTGTGCTGGTCACGGCCTTCAGTGACTACACCAAAGAGCGGCAGTTCCGCGGCCTGCAAAACAGGATAGAAGGCGAACACAAGTTTGCTGTCATCCGCAACGGCGAAGTGCAGCAGATCAACGTGGGCGATATCGTCGTGGGTGACATTTGTCAGGTGAGTGACTCTGATGGTGGGTGAATGTTTTGGTTAGTTACTGGTTGTGGGTTAACGAGTCAGACTAGTGCGTGTAACAACGAGTCAGGCTAGTGACATGTGACAACTAGTCAGGCTAGTGCGTGTAACAACGAGTCAGGCTAGTGNAGGCTAGTGACATATTAGGTTAAAGACATGTTTCAGATAAGTGCGGTAGTGTTCAGCGTGTCAGGAAATTTGTGACAAATGAGACGTTAGATGCGTCCTTTTAGTGACATATGTATGTTAAATTAGTTAAATATGTCTTGCTAGTGACATATTTCACTAGGTTTACCGGTAGCGGATCGTTCCAGGTACCGGTAGCGTAGTAAAAAAATTGTTCCATTAGTAGTGATACGTACAGAACTGAGTTCAATAGCGTATATTATTGCATGTTCTTCAATTTACACAGACTTGCTGCGGAAATTTGTGTTGAAACGTGCCGAGTGAAGTCTACTCCTGATCTTTGCAAACTGATCTAAGAACTTTACTTCGCCTATTTATTCAAATGAAAATGTTCCTTTACTGCTGGATACGTTGCTAGTGTTTCAAATGCGTGGACTTAAATTTTTATTTCATTTCAGGAATATCATCTCCGTATTTTGTTGACGTTGCTAGTGTTTCAAATGCGTGGACTTAAAATTTTATTTCATTTCATAAATTTCATCTCCGTATTTTTGTTGACGTTGCTAGTGNTATTTCATTTGTGACCCTATGCTGCTCTCCGGTGCGTCTTTCTCTTGCGTGCTAGAATATTAATATTTCTGATATATAAGCTTCATCTTTCTTCCATTTGCTTTATTTCATTTGTGACCCTATGCTGCTCTCCGGTGCGTCTCTCTCTTGCTACTTTCGCTCTCAGAGTATAATTCAAAATCAAAATACTCTCTAAACTTTCTCGCATCAAAACCTCACTGAACTTAGGCTGCTCTTAAGTTGCAAATGAACACGAATTGCATTTTATGAGATGTATATGATCTGCGTTCAGTGTTCGTGTGTTGGTGATGATCTTGCAGTCAGCATTTGCATTGACGACTGCAGGCACGTACGTCATGGAAAATTCAGGCTTTGGTTATGCTTGTATACTCATGTCATTTATCGTGCGTATAGAATACTATTATTAATGAATAAATAAGATGATTATCAAGTTGAGATTATCAAAATTATCATTTAGGTACTAATAAGACTAACGACTGCAGGCACGCACGTTATGGAAGGCTCCGGCAAGGTGCTCGTGACGGCTGTAGGCATCAACTCTCAGGCTGGCATCATCTTCACTCTGCTCGGTGCTGCCGTGGATGAGGAGGCTGCAGAGGCTAAGAAGAAGAGGAAGGGTGAGTCTATCTTTACCATCATCTTTTATTATTTACTTATTATTTGTGCATTGCCCGCTCCTCTGTACCTGTCAGAGTCCGTACCCTTCCAGGTCAATCGTTACCGAGCAAACAGAGCTCGATTCCTTTCACCAATACCCAAGAAATAGAATGCAATACCCTATCACGTCCGTAATTTTTATGCAAAATAGATCATCATTCCCTTCCCAAAGTAAATTGTTTGACAGTGATATTATTATTTCAGAGTCGATCGATAATGAGCAAATATTATTGCTTTCGTCTCAAATTTTTGTGGTGTGAAACGTTTTTTTCAGTCCCTTACTTAACACGAACAAAAACGTTGCACCAAAACGTTTTGGTCTTTGGGCTTAAAAATGATTGTTTTTGGAAGAGGGCAATGCAGTTAAGGAGCTACAGCCCTACAATTTTTATTATAACGCAGCCAATAGATTTTTGTGTGACACCAAGACTCCGCGTGACGCTTCTCTCTGAAGACTCCACTCAAAGAAATATAAACGGTAACGTTATGATTGCTACGCTACAGTACTTTTTATCTCGTTTAAATATCAAGCTCCACGGCATTCGCATTCTAAGACCTAGCGTAGACTAGTCTGAGCCGCACTCTTAATACTCAACATTACGAGAAACTAAATAGTTATTACCGCCATGCACTTACTTAAAGACGAGCGTGGCCTGGGACTGCTACGTCCGATACGCTTACCAATGTTAAAAATATAGGCGCGCCTTGGGCGGCCAGTGCTCATAAATAGCCTAGTGCATCCGCTAGTGAAGATGCTGTTCTTTTTATTGTTTTGCGCTATGTCATAGTGCTAGATTTTGATGCTGAATGCAAGTCTATACATTGTTTTTACCCTCCTTTAATGCATGATTCTTCACTGGCCCTGTAAATAATCTCATATCCTCCCCAATGGGTTAACTTATCTTTCTCCCAAAGCGTTTTTTTATCTCGTTCATCCAATTATCCCAGTTCTTGTCTTGATCGCCTTAGTGTTTATATAATATTCCGATAAGCAAATATTTCTATTTCATTTCCATGTGGTGTTGTGTCTTTAAGGTTTATTCTAAATCATTTTTAAAATCAATGATTGAAGTGTTATTATTCATCCGTGAGTTAATACCGGCCCGAATGAAATCTAGGTTGTCTCAAACCAAGATTTTGTGGTGTTTTGAGTTTGAAATTCATGATTTCAGTACTATTCCAATTAATTTATTTATATTTAGTGTTTTTTTTCGACCGTCATTTTACTAACACTTGTAATTTTCAAATTTTGTGACCAAAAGTTGATCATTTTTATTTCTTGTGACGCATAATATCTTGGATCTCCATACCGACAAAAATCGGAATCACAACATATTTTCAGTTCAATGTTTGTTGGTACGTTTATAAATGGTCAACATTATCACCATTACAGCATATTTTACTAATATTTATACCAGTGACTAATTTTATGGTTCTCTCCCCATGGTATTTTATGTTTGTTCTCTTACAATATAATCTATCTAAAACTTCCCCTGAATTTGAAAATAACGAAATTATCGCACGGTCTAGTCTCCCCAGGATTAAATTATGCTGAATAATATATTATCTTGCCATGATATTAATTACAATAATATAATATTCCCCCAACCCAATTCGAATATCCTTTTTCATCGCTAAACTTGTTTGAATGCCTGCAGGAATTGAGGGTTTAGTGAACTAAAATATTCCTATATTCCTCGCCAAGCGTGGCTACGCCGCTACATGAAGCAGTGATCTCGCTTGCGCTTTATAAAACTAATTCGTAAAACAATGTTCAGAAATTAATTTCATTGGACAATATGAGCTCCTAAAATATTAGTTCATTTCTTAGCTTCATGCTAGTAATTAAATATTTTTGGCTCTTTATTACTTTTTTTAAAGCGACTGTTGCAGTGAAACAAACTAGACATTTGCCACTCACCACTGTGAAGTCATTGCCACTAGCCTACATCAGCGATGTTCACTGCTTCATGGGAGCCACGCTAAAGATGTTTGGTCTTGGATGTGGCGTGTCCGTGGCCACATGATGCTGGTGATCATGCCATGTCACTTGAAATTGGCCGCTTGCAGCACCCGAAAATGTATCTTCTTTAATGAGTAAAATTTTCACGAATAAGGAACATTTGGATTAATGATGACAGTATTTATCAATGCTATGACATATTCTCAGAGCTCATTATTAAATGCTTATAAATTAAAGGATGGTAATTTAATTGAGTTCTTAACACGGCATATTTTCCAGCATTGCTTGGCTTGACATTTTGGCTTGAGTTACTGAGCGCGGGCAACCTCGCTATCACACCCAGAGATATGAGTGAGACATTGTCCAAATAGCCGTGCACTTTTTGCCTTTGTGTGGGTTTGTCCAAGTTTGGCCCGGCAAAAGGGCGTATCAGTGAGTGCTGCGTGCAGAAAGTGTGTCACTATTTGAACAAGATGACCCACTCGTTTGTCTGAGTGCAGGGCAGCAGCGGTAAAAGAAATTCTTGCTTGGCTCTCTAGACTAGCTCGGTAGAGCCTCTTTTAAAGTTTCATTGTTTTGAGTGTTTGGTCTTTTTTTGCATGTGTCCTGTCTGTTGTTCCTCCACTGGTGCTGCAACCTTCCACCATCACCACCACAATCCCTCTACCACCATCACCATAAATGATGATGGTGATCACCACCGCCCGTCCGCTGCCGCCATTATTTCCTCGCTAAAAAAAATCGGCGCTGCAGAAGCTAAAAAGCAACGTAAGAAGCAACAGAAAGCTGCTGCTGCTGCCGCCGCTGATCAAGGTGATATAATTTACTGTTATACCTCGTGTCTCTATTCTATTCTTTCTGGTGTTATTCAATGTTATTCATTTATCCATTCTATTTTGAACTGTATTCTCTAACTCCATTTATTTCTTCTGTTCCGTGAACTACGGTCGCCGTATTATGTTCATGTCAAATTGTAATGGTATTTTTTGGTGCCAATTAGTTGTTCGTCTCAGGGCTATATTCCTGCATTCCGTAAGTTTATACAACATTTTTAATTGTCAAAATATTCCTGGTACATATATTAAATTTATTTCGTGATGTGCAACATTTACGTTTATATTTTACATAAACGTCTCCTAGTTACACGTCTAATTAAACTTCCAATGGTCGTTCTGGTAGTAAATATATTTTTTCCGGTGACTTTGAATGTTCGTGGTATGTTCCGTGCTGTAGTCTTTGTTCATTGCTTCGTGTCGTTAGAGCTTCTTATAATATTATTGCCTTAGATATTTACTTTTAATATTCTCAAGTCCCGCACTCGGAGCTTGCGGGATTACCTCGGCACTTTATAAGTTTATTCATAAACTTATTTATAATTAAATATAAATCATACAGCAAGTGTAATTTAATGGAAGCAAATTTGTAGCCACTAAACTCTGGTTCGGCAGTCATGATCTGTAAAGCAGTTGACATTATTTATGTTTATTCCGTACCAATATTTCATGAACTTGTCATAATCTTCGTATTGGGCTGGAAGCTATTTTCCACCTACTTTGTCCACAAAATTTTTTTTATTTACATTAACTTCTACCTTAAACTGGTTTTACATTTCATTCTGCTCGTAATATAACTAGACGAAAAATTTTTTTATTTACATTGACTTCTACCATAAACTGGTTTTACATTTCATTCTGCTCGTAATATAACTAGACGAGATCGCGGTGCAAGTTCACCTTTTTTTGGTAAGACCAAGAAATTGTTGCCACAGAAATGCTCAAGTGCACGTTGTTGCTTAAGTGCGCATATCGTCCTCAGTAGCGGCAGATTTCTCGTCTGTGATTGGTGAGTTTAGCTTGTAAAGCCGTCATTGATTGGTTTATAGTTATGACCTCGTAAATATTTTTGATTGTATGGTTCCAGGCTAGGATGCACACTTTAAAACTTTGAAGCCTTGCATCTTCTTGCGTGTGAGATTCAAAGGAAGTTTGTAAATCATCTCAACGAGTGACTTGGTCTATTTTGTTTTCCATTTTTTCCCTCCTAATTTTATTGACTTACTTGTGTTCTCCATCATCACAAATACGGGACTAGCGATAAAATGTTCTGATATCAATACGTTATTATTTATTCTGTAGAATTACTTAAGCTAATTAGCCTGGGGAATATGTAAACTAATTCCGTTGTATCCAAATTAAACTTTAAATTACCTTTTACATTGTTTTCAAACTAAAAGCTTGAAAGGTCACAGAACGCAAACTAGAGTCGTTAAGTAAGATAAGTTCTCATATAATTGAACTCCTTCTGTTAATACTCGTATTTTTTGCATTAATTTACAATACGAACTTTGCTTCTTTTGAGGACATTTAGTGAACGCAAAAAATAAAATACGTTTCTCTAGCGCGTTCACCTTGCATCTTTTTGAGGACATTCAGTGAGGTGAAGGACCTATATAAATTTTTTGAGGACAATCCTAATTTTTTTGGTGACATTTCCTGATCGTGATGATGCCACCAGGTGCCGCGGCTACCGCTACTGCCGCCGATGCCACTGGCAACTCGCATGCGAACTCTGCCGGCGTCGCCGACGGTGACATGAAGCACAAGAGCGACGACGGCAAGGCTCCTTCAGAGGAGAGAGAAGGCGCTAGCAGCGGCGGTGGTGGCATGGGCGAGAAGAGTGTTCTGCAGGCCAAACTCACCAAACTCGCCATACAAATCGGTTACACTGGTTAGTGCAATTAGTATGAAGATCTAGTATTAGTATGAAGATCATACAATTAGTATGAAGATCAATTAGTATGAAGATTTTCAATCAAGATCTTCAAGCTCACTAAACTCGCCATACAAATTGGTTACGCTGGTTAGTGAAATTAGGATGTGAACTTGTTTTGTACCATTAATATGAGCTTATCGAGATAATGAAGAGATAATAATAATATTGAGGGAGAAGGGAAATATTTCGAGATAATACTTGAGACTTTTTCGGATTGCTTGTGGAAAAAAAAGATTATTTAACGTACTTAAGATTATTCAAATTATGATATTCTCAGTGAAAGCTGCTTATGCTCTAATATGTTTATTTACAAAGTGTTAACTTAGTTCAACAAAATGATAAATTTCACTTCTCCCGTTTTGGGTTGGCGCCGGAAACACTTCAGTGTTCAATATCGATATTATTATCTGTTTATTCCAATTAGCGAACATGCTGACAAATTTTCCTATAAAACTACTTGGCAAACTGTCCAAACAACTGACTGCAATGTTCGTCCTTTATATGAGCCCTCGTTACCGATATTTTATTGCTTAGCACTAGTCAATTTTTGGCGCATTTTCTCATTTATGGAAAATGCGCTATTGTGCTCGCGATGTCCGTCCGTCTGTCTGTCCATCCGTGACTTCACGTTTTCGTCGATGAGAAAATGCGCTCTCTGTCACTCACTGCAGTGAGTACTGAGTTACATTTTTTCGCAGGTTCCCTTATCGCCATCCTGACGGTTCTTATCCTGGTGCTGCGCTTCTGCATCCAGACGTTCGTTATAGACAAGAAGGAGTGGAGCGGCTACTACGCTAACCATCTCGTGCAGTACTTCATCATCGGCGTCACGGTGCTGGTCGTGGCTGTGGCTGTGTGGTGCAGCGTGCTTCTTGCCGTCACGCTCTCACTGGCATACTCTGTTAAGGTCTGGTGCTCTGCTCGTGCTCTCTGTTGTTCATATGTTGCTTGTCTGTTGCTCTTCTGTTGCTCTTCAGTTGTTCATATGGTGCTCTTCTCGTGCTTTTCTTTTGTTCATATGTTTCTCATCTGGTGCTCTTCTGTTGCTCATCTGTTGCTCAGCAATCGTCTGTTTTTCATCAAACTCCTATTGACCAACGCTCTTTTCCTCACTATCGTTGCTAGGCTTTCTGATACGAATAACATAAAGCACGGTTAATTTATCTGCAGCAAAAGCGTTAAACAAACTGTTTATCATTGGTAACTTTCAGATAACATTAGTATTAATTAAGATTATTGCGTCCGTATATAAATCATATACCTACTGCTCTGCATCTTTGCGCGTGTTCTGGTTGCTTAAGTATTACTGGAAAGTTGTTGTAGTGATGAGACATTGTAGATTTTTATTAAGTTTCGGTGTTTTAATTTACAGAAAATGATGAAGGATAACAACCTGGTGCGTCACTTGGATGCCTGCGAGACAATGGGCAACGCGACGTCCATTTGCTCCGACAAGACAGGCACGCTCACCACCAACCGCATGACGGTCGTGCAGAGCTACGTGGGTGGTGTCCACCACAAGACCACACCGCGGTAGGTCATACTCCGGTCCAAGCCGTACTCATAATTCATGATGTATGCAGAAATTCATTCATGATTTATGCAGAAATTCATTCATGATTTATGCAGAAATTCATTCATGATTTATGCAGAAATTCATTCATGATTTATGTAGAAATTCACAACGATTTATGCAGAAATTAACTCAGGATTTATGCAGAAATTAATTCAAGATTTATGCAGAAATTCATCATGATTTATGCAGAAATTCATTCATGATTTATGCAGAAATTCACAACGATTTATGCAGAAATTCATTCAGGATTTATGCAGAAATTCATTCAATATCTTTGCGCCTGTTCTTGTTGCTGAAGTATTACTTAATTTACAGAAAATGATGAAGGATAACAACCTGGTGCGTCACTTGGATGCCTGCGAGACGATGGGCAACGCGACTTCCATTTGCTGCGACAAGACGGGCACGCTCACCACCAACCGCATGACGGTCGTGCAGAGCTACGTCGGGGGCACCCACCACAAGACCACCCCACGGTCAGTCCTGCTCCGGTCAAAACCGTACTCATAATTCATGATTTACATCGAAATTCAATCACGCTACTCTTTTTTAATATATGCTTTACTTGTAGATTTACATACGAAATCACCACGTGAGAAGTTTCTTGGTAGATATAAGTTTATTTGAAGCTTCTTGCAGTTGCGGAAGAGGTTAACGCTTTGTTGCTGATGTAAGCGTGAGCATCGAGAGTGTAACTTGTTGCTCCATGTCTGATATCTCCAGTACTCGTACGCTATTCATTTGAAAGAGTAATGTTTTTTTCTACACCAAGTTAAGAACACAGTGTGTAGCAACATAGAAACACTATGTGTTTACCTCATCAGTATTATTATAATCTCAGTTACATTTTTTCTCATCACTAGCAGTATCACGAAGTTCCTGTATTCAACTTCACATTTTTTGTATTCTCCAACTGACATATGGAGATTTTATGTCTTATCTACTCCCTTATATGATCATGTTTATAATACCGTCTTTTTGAATGTATTGCCAACTGGTGCTCGCAGTTACGACGACCTGAACCGCAACCTGGCCGAGGTTCTGGTGACGGCGATCTCGATCAACTCCGCGTACACGTCGCGTGTGCTGCCCGGCGACAACCCTGGCGACCTGCCCAAGCAGGTACGCTCAACTACAATTGATTTTTTTCAGCCGCATTCGCCATGATGTAAGTAACAACATTTCAGAAAGATTCACATTTGTATGCTGGCATATTTAGTGGAGTATAAAGTTTAAAATCACTGACCTGTGTATTTTGTGACTATATTTTAAGCTGTTTATTTGGTATATTTTGTAATGACTGTGTATTTTGAGCAGCTCGGCAATAAAACGGAGTGCGCGCTGCTTGGCTTCGTGCTGGCGCTGGGTAAAAGCTATCAAGTTTACCGCGACGAGCTTCCTGAAGAATGCATCCATAAAGTCTACACTTTCAACTCCATACGCAAGTCAATGAGCACAGTCATCCCGCGCAAAGAAGGCGGATTTAGGATCTACACTAAGGGCGCTTCCGAGATGGTTATGAAAAAGTAAGTTACATTTCAAATTAAAACATACGGTTTTAAACGTTACCTGTTTGATGCAACATTTGATCTAAATTTGTTACTCATGTCGAAAGTCAATCTTGTGGAACTCGTTTTTCTGCTGCCAGTTTTCTTTTAACCTAGACATCCAGCATGAAGTTCACCGTAAAAATGTTTTAACCATGAATATTTCTGCTGCAGATGTTCCTTCATCTACGGCAAGAACGGCAAGCTTGAGAACTTCACGAAGCAGATGCAGGAACGTCTCATCAAAGACATTATTGAGCCAATGGCATGCGACGGCCTTCGTACAATTTCGGTGGCGTACAAAGACTTTGTCCCTGGCCACGCTGAAATCAACCAGGTCCATTTCGACACGGAACCAAACTGGGACGATGAAGACCGCATTATCAGCAACCTGACGTGTATCTGCGTCGTTGGTATCGAGGACCCAGTACGTCCAGAAGTGCCCGATGCCATCAAGAAATGCCAGAGAGCAGGCATTACCGTGCGCATGGTAACAGGCGACAACGTCAACACGGCACGATCCATTGCCTCTAAATGTGGCATCCTCAAACCCGGTGACAACTCCCTCGTTATTGAGGGCAAAGAGTTCAACAGTAGAATCAAAGACAACAATGGAAAGGTTAGCTCTTTTTTTATACTTGTGTATAAATGTTATTGCAAAGGGATTTCTTTCATACACGGCGGGAGATATGTATTTCATTAGCTTGGATTGTTGAAAAAAAATCACTAGAAAATATTTCAGCTGACTTAGATATCAGCTTGAGATCCATCCTCTTTTTTCTATAGCTTGAGTTCATACATTTTCCTTTGGAATCACAATAGGTATGCATTTTCGTCAGGTGCTTCATTCAGTTAACCTCTGTAGTCTTGTTAACATGCGTTTTCTCATGTTCATGCGCTTCATTCGCATGTATCTTGGTATCTTCGTATTTGTTTTGGACGTAGCAGTCCCAGTCCGCGATGGATCGCCGCCTCTGATTATCGTTCATCCGCCCTCATTTGGGCCACCTGATGCACGATGCTGTTGCTTGCTTCTCGCCGCTGGTAGTGTTGCAGGGGAGGTTGATCTGGGATTGTGCCCAGGAACACGTCCAGTTGTCTCTTGAAGGTCTCCAGGGGGAACTACCCCTCTCTTAGATCCCTTGTTGAACAGCCTTGGCCCTGCCACGGAAAGTGATCCTTCCCGCAGGGATTGAAATCTGACTGTGGATCTGTTACGTAGAGAGGGGAATCTTCCACAGTCTCTCCCTTCTCTCGTTGTGATATGTCTCAATCATGAAGGTCTCGCTCTCGAAGTTTGGCACCATTCCGGTTTTCATTTTCCATGTGTACAGAATGACATACCTCTCCCGTCTCCTCTGCAGTGAGTACAGACCCAGGCGCCTCAACCTCTCGCAGTAGTTCAACTCTTCCATCCCTCTGATCCTGGAAGTGAAGATTCGCTGGACACCTTCCAGTTGCCGCACTGCGCCGAGAGTGAACGGGGTCCAGAGCTGGCAGCAGTATTCAAGAATTGGTATTACAAGGGCTTTAAAGAGTGTGATCATCGGTTCCGCTTCTCTGGTTCTGAACGTTCGCCAGATCCACCCCATCTGTCGCCTACCTCTTGCGGTTATTGCCGTTATGTGATCACCAAAATTGACCTAACCTTCTGTATTTGACCCTCTGTATCTCAGAACCTCAAACTTGGTCCCGTTGAACTGCATGTTGTTCACTTGGGCCCAGTCATATATTGCAGAGAGATCTTTTTGCAACCTCTCGCAGTCCCTCCAGTCCGTTATGGTCATTAGTATCCTGGTGTCGTCCGCGAATGACGATGCAGAGGCGTGGTTCACCGGCACATCTACGTCGGCGATGTGAATGAGGAAGAGGATTGGGCCGAGTACCGTTCCCAGTGGTACTCCACTCTTCACCCTAGCCTCGCTCGATCTCGAGCCTCCTACAACGACAGCTTGTAGTCTTTCTGTTAGGAAGCTGTGGATCCATGCCAGCAATTCACCTCCGACTCCCAGCAGTCATAATTTTCTGAAAAGCACTCCATGGTCAACTTTGTCAAACGCTTTCGCGAAGTCCAAATACACCACGTCCATCCCGGCCCCCTCCTCTAGCATGACCAGGATTTGGATGTGATGCTCCTGTAACTGAGACAAACAGGAATGATTTCGTGTAAAACCATGTCGCCTTCTGTTGAAAAGGTCAGCGTTTTCCATGTACTGCACCAACCTTCTGGCAACAACCTTCTCAAATACTTTGATTATTCGCACATGCCCTGGTCGTCTCCAACAAGGACATCGTTATTTTTCAGAGGCCCCACTGAGGCTCTGATTTTGGCCTTTGACTGGGCATATTTGTAGAAATATTTGGGATTCTCTCGAATGGCAGACACTGCTTGCGCCTCTGCAATTTGTTGCTCGGCCTCGTGTGAGTCCTGCAACTGTCGTTCAGTTTCCTTAATATTCTCCTTTAGATGTTCCAGCCTCCGCCTCTCCATATTCCTGGAGGCGGCCGTTATCTGATTGTTCAAGCTCGCTCGTTTTCTCATGAGGATCCGTCTGTCCCTCGGATTATGTGGCGTTTCGTTTGGGGGTCGTTTTTCCCGGCGTGTGACGCACGCATACCTGCAGTAATACCTCGCACAGCTTGTTGTACATTGTTTCGGCGTTCAATTCCAGGAATTCAGATCTCTAGTCAATTTCGAAGAGTTCGTTCCCAATGGCCTACCAGTCTGTTCTTCGATGATGAAAATTTAGCCCAGCTAGCCCCTCTAGAGGTGTAGGTCTTGGCCTGGTTCCCCTCTCAATTGTTGTCTTGACCGCCGCTAGTCGATGATCTGACAGTGTGGTCTCCTCAACACGAATATCAGTAACCAGTTCTTCATTTCCGGTGAAGAATAGATCCAGGATATTATGTTCTCTTTTTGGCATCAGAACCTGTTGACTTAGCAAGTGCTCCGTTGCGAATCGAGGTAGTTGTGTTGCCTGGTTTCTGGCCTGATTTCTGCGCCGTTCTAAACAGTCCAAGTTTGGCCATCGTATGAGTGGTAGGTTTAAATCTCCCGCAACCACAATATTTGAGGAAGGTTCACCTAAGTTGGCCACCTCTGTTTCTATTCTATCGAGAGTTTCATTGAATTTTTCAGGCGGGCAGTCAGGCGGTCGGTATACGATAGAGATGGAGATGGGGTATGTATCATGTATGGCATAACATGTTCCACATATCCATTCGAGCCTAAATGCAGGGGAACTGTTTTTGCCGCTAGGAAGTTTCAGAGGTAGACTATAACGCCTCCTTTTCTTCTCCCTTCTTTTCGGCCTGCTTGGTAATGTTGAAAGCCTTCCATCTCGATTTCTCCATCTTGGATATCCTCTCATAGGTGTGACTCGGTTAAGGCAAGCATGATTATTCCTTCTGTCTCAGCAATTTCTTTAATTACGCCAATCTTGTGGCGTTTCTTCTTGGGAAGAGCCCCTCTATGTTGGCTATCATGATGCCAGACTCTTCCTTTCCTTGTGTTCTTAGTTGCTGTAACACTGCACTGCCAGGGGTCTCTGGCTCAGCAGTTGTTGCATTTGTTGCTGTGATTTCTGATGTTGTTCGTGCAATGTCAACAGCTGCCGCATTTTTTGTTGAATCTGATCTACTTGCTCTGTAGGTCTAAAAATTTGCTGCGCTCGATATCGAGTCGCTGTAGGAGCTGTAGGAGCCACTCGATATCGAATGTAGGAGCTGTTTGTTCTTCTTCACTCCGGTAGGTTGTGTTGGCCGGTGCGTAAATTTTTGGGACTGCCCTGTTCCTTTGATTACGATAGATTCGCCCTTCCCAGAACTGATTTTTTTTACCGTGTAATTCCTTTCTGATGTTTTGAGTTTGGCAGTAGAATCTATCCTGTGTTCCGAGAAGAAACTCAGGTCCCGTCACTCTTCGGCATTACCTCTCAACTGCAGGTTGAGTTTAAGGTGGTGAAACCGACAGGAATCTCGTTTGCAAGCTACATTTTTAATAGTATTCCAGCACAAGAATGGATCGTAATATTGACAGTCTCTCCTGTTTTTGCATCCGCGTTGGTTTTTGCTTCCAAAATGTTGCAAATTTGTGACAGATCTTAGGGTGAGAATAGTTACAGTTAATTTCTTCATTCTCCCAATCGCACTTGCCCTGAAGATATCTCCAGCAAACGCGTTTCTTAACAGTTAAATGCCTCTTGTTCGAGGCATTTAAAGAGGAGAGGGGAGGGGTAACGCTCCGGTCATGAGTTGGGTAGGCGGAGTACAATGTCGGGCAGCAGTGAGGGATGCGGGGGGTTAGTAGAGAGAGTGAAGGGAGTTGAGGGAGTGAGGGGAGTTGAAGGTAATTGCGTCTTAGTCGAACAGAGAGACCCATACATGGTAGGCCTTGTTCTCTCGAACGCTTGAACTGCTTGCACAATCTCTATGCTTCCTTTCGCCCACCCTTCGTTTATAACGCATTTTCTACACATGAATGACGTCCTCGTTTTTAAATATCTTGCAAGTTGATAATCTGGAAGTAGTGAACATTCGAAGTGACATGTCCTTTGGAGTCTTGTCAATAATCGTTGTCTTTTGTTCAGGTGCAACAACACCTGCTCGACAAGGTGTGGCCCAGCCTGCGCGTACTGGCGCGCTCATCACCCACGGACAAGTGCACGTTAGTCAAGGGAATTATTGAGAGTAAAGTGAACGCCAACAGGGAGGTGGTCGCCGTCACAGGGGACGGCACCAACGATGGGCTTGCTCTCAAGATGGCTGATGTTGGCTTTGCTATGGTGAGATCCAATCAAAAACTTGATACGAATAGCACCATGAGATAATAAAATCGCCATGGTAAGCTTTAATCAATGATTCCATACAAATAACACAATGAAATAATTGATGAATACATTCTTATATTTCACAAAGATGCCTCAAGTTCTAAATGTAGGAGCTATGGTGAGCTCCAGATTTATTTGATACAAATAAAACCATGCGGGAATCGATTAATACATTCTTATATTTTACCAATAAGTCTTGATGTCACATTTCACAAAGTAGGAGTTTATCAATAGAAACGTTTGAACTGCAACAACTTTCTTCATTTCGGAAAAATTCTAAACATTGAGTTACTACTTTTGCTACAGCTCGTGTTCTTTCATCCACGGCACAAAATTATCATGTTATTATTAGGCTACCTAATAGCAAGTTCACCAGATCTTTGAACGTTTTCATCAAAGATGTGGTCACCTTGCTCGGCGTTTTCTCGGTCTTTAAATTTTTGGATGATCTTTTTTGTTGTTTTTTTAAACGATGTGGTTTTGGCCAGGGCATCGCTGGCACGGACGTCGCTAAGGAAGCCTCTGACATCATCCTGACGGAGGACAACTTCTCCTCGATCGTGAAGGCCGTGATGTGGGGGCGCAACGTGTACGATTCCATCGCCAAGTTCCTGCAGTTCCAACTCACCGTCAACGTCGTGGCCGTGGTCGTCGCCTTCGTAGGGGCTTGTGCCATCAACGACAGTCCATTGAAGGCGAGTGCTGTTATGCAACTCCGAATATTACCACCAAGAAGCTCTTATTTCTGTGTCTGAAGGCGAGTCCTGTTATTGCATTGCAAATATTCCCCCAAAAATCTTTTATTTGTATTACTGAAGGCGAGTTTTGATATACATTTGCGAATATTCACTCCTTCTAGTCCTGAATTATAGATATTCGCAGTGCAAAAATTCACTGATTTTTTGATGTCAATTTTTCTCGATATTGCTTCATTATTGTTTCGAAATTGATGGTTTCTTCTAACAAGACTGTTAAGAGCTGGAATTATTCTCTAATTATCCTGCATTACTTGTTTTATAAATTGGTTCAGGAATTTTTTTTATTTATTCGCCAGAGGTAATTTCTGAAATTGTGTTTTCCTCAGCAACGTTCTCAACGAAAGTTATTATAATGGCTTTATTCATTTACAATTTTTTTTTGTAACATCGGCTACTTTAGTGTATGTGTTGCGTCGTGGCCTCATAAAACTATGCGTTGAGCATTTGACTATTGTAATGTTAGCTCCTATCTTCTATTCTATTTTATTTTCTGTACACTTATAAACTTTTCATCAATTTTCTCAATATTTATAATACTGTCGAAGTTTTGCTGTGCCAGACATTATGATTATCTCTTTGTACAATAAATGAACAAAATAATCGTCGTCACGAAAATCTTAGTGCAATAAAATAATATTATGTTTGCAGACAAGAAATCACGATAATCTTCATAAAATAAAAGGAATGAATATTTGCAGGCTGTTCAAATGTTGTGGGTGAATTTGATCATGGACACGCTGGCGTCGTTGGCGCTGGCCACGGAGCCCCCAACTCCTGACCTGCTGCTCCGTAAGCCTTATGGTCGCACAAAGCCTCTCATTTCCAGGACCATGATGAAGAACATCCTAGGACAAGCTGTTTACATCATCTCCACTATCTTCATACTGCTCTTCTATGGTGAGCTTATTTACTACCGTTGCAGGAGACGTGCTTTTGGACATTGACAGCGGTCGCTGGGCTGATATCAGAGATCCGCCCTCGGTTCACTTCACGGTCATTTTCAACACATTTGTCATGATGACACTCTTCAACGAAATCAACGCCCGCATGATCCACGGCCAGCGAAACATTTTCCGTGGTATCTTCTCAAACCCCATCTTCTGTTGCATCTGGATCAGCACCTTTGTCGCTCAGGTAACACAAGTTCATAGTTCATTGAAGTCTACTGTTCGATACCGTCCACTCTTTCTTTTATGCCATTTTGATCATGTTAATGATTATTACCATGTTATTTATCGTACAACTCTTCAACCCTTTCTCATCAACATATTTTTACTCTTCAACACTCTAGACTCGACAGTATTGGTCCAAGGCTTCACATTGGTTGTACAAATATTCCTTGTACAATTTGGTGCTTTTTTCCTTATACCAGAAATATGATTCGATCATTTTATTGAACTTACGAGACTTTAAATTGGGCTTGTTTGTGCAGATCTTGATCGTACAAGTGGGCGGTGTGGCGTTCTCGACGGCCCCCTTGTCCCTGGAGCTGTGGTTCTGGTGCATCTTGTTTGGTGCCGCGACGCTCCTGTGGGGCCAGGTCATCACTAGCATCCCCACACACTCCCTGCCCAAAAATGTCTTCTCGTGAGTCTATTTTAATATACAACAAACATATGTATATATATATAAGTTGATATAATATAAGTTGATATGTATAATTGTTGATAAAATTTGCCATTTGTGGGCCTACAAAACGAACTTTCTCCAGATGGGGATCAGGAGAACCTGCCAGTGACCCCATCGCTGATCTCAACAACGACGACAAGACAGATTTTGACAACAAAGACAACAAGCGCACGGGACAAATTCTTTGGATCCGAGGCTTGACTCGTCTTCAAACTCAGGTACGATTATTATTATTATCGCAGCCGAGCATCCACCTATTCTATATGCGATCAATCGGCCTGTCGTTCATCTATTTCCTTGCCAACCCATTAGTAATTTTTACTATCTTGTTCTGATCTACTTTTAGTTTGATATCCTCACTGATTATTCTTTAGCTCGACATCTGACTGGTCTATTAACTGGTCAGGATAAATATCTTCTATTGATTCAACTTCTGGTCAAAGGGCAAACTGGTAGTTTAGCATTTAAATTATATTATTCAATCTCCAGAGTCAGCTGCTAATTTATTCTTTATTACAAATTGCTGATACATATTTGTACAACTTTATCAGTTCATCAGCACCTTATTAAACTCTATATCTAAGTTAGTGCATATCCACCCCTGGAAATGAGTTCATATTTTTCTTGAACTACGTTTGCACATCCAGCCAAAGTTCACTTATTCTAGTCCCGAGTCAGCCACGATCTGCTAAATTTACATATTTCTGCTTGAGGTTGAAACCTCTCCACGTGCTCCTTCAATTTCAGATTTCCTCTTTCAGTGCTCGACGATGTTGGTTTTGCTGCATCTCCTGAGTTTTTGAACAGATTTACAGCTCCAGTTCTGAGCTCGCTTCAAACTTTTCTTTTAGTTTCTCCCAATCGTAAATTTTCGCAATGCAGTTTCTCGCATATTTTTCGACTCGTTTATGGCCATATGAAAAATGGTCCGAGTATTTCTGATTTTATTGTCCCAGTTGAAAATTCTGGCGAAAATAATACAGGTCAGTTAAAGTCGATACATCATTTGATGAATCATAGCAAATCTTGCGCGAAGCACGAATTGGGATGAATATCATTCGCTTGGTACAGTACTTGACATTTTATTAATACATAGATTATATCGGTACCAATTTTTTGTTTACGAGCTCATCTCAAGTCTTCAATACACTTGCGTATAAATACGCTGTAGCTTAGCGTTCAGCGCGAAGGAACGATGCAGCGCGCCTGCCTAGCATCAAACAGTAAATGTTCACGAGAATTTCAATCGAGTTGCAGAAGCTCTACCTGGGATCCGGCGTCTCATTTGTGTTATTTCTTCAGCTCCCTCTTCCCTCAAAGGAATGTGATATTCTTTATTTAATATATTCGATGCTCGTTCCCTGACTATGTTTCGCTATCTGAATTAGTCTTCCTTGCTTGTTCTGTTCACGATCAACCCTTTAATTTGGATCTAATAATCCATTCACTGCCCCCTTTTGAAGATAATATTATTGAACATTTTGATGAACATGTTATTGAATGATTTTGACATGATAGTTTTTGTGATTCATAAACGTGATAAGTTTTGCGTAGGCAAATGTTCTAACACTGTCTTTTCCAGGGAAAAATTTTCAAAAATAATTTTTTGCCCGATTATTACGTTTTTATTTTTCGTAATTGCTGATTTTTCTTTTTCTGATTCAGTTTCGTTACCAGTTTTTCGCACCGTTCCTATATTTTTAGGAGGAAGTCTTACTCCTTCACGGGCATTTATCCTAAAAATTACACAAATTTTCCGTACATTTGTGCCAGGCTGTCTCTCCTCTCCTTACTCGTGACCACCAAACGACCGACTGACGAATCCAAACTTTGATAACCCAACCACAGACACTTTTTCGTCGCGGTGTTACGCATGTAAAAGAATTTGTCGTTACCTGAACCTAACCTCAGGTTTGTGAACTATCGTGAGTGTAATCATTTGCACACACTTGAACCACTAAACTGGGGCTAGGAGCGAATAACGACGATTTTTTTATTGTGCGAACACTGCAAACAAGCGCCAGACGCACGGCATCTGCATCAACAAAAACATTTAAAGCGGTCAATTAAGCAATGTTTTTTTATAGACGCTGCCGTGAGGCCTGTCTTTGGCAGCATTTTTGCTTATCCAGGCTTTTTTCGCTTTTGCGATGGACTGTGATCATTTGACGTCAGTTCCATGCTGGAAATATCTGCTAGAAGTTGCTAGTAGACAAAAAGCAATGCCTGAGAATATGAATGTTTTATTAATCAGATTTTTGCAAACAGTTTTTAATTTTCCATTCATGCGTCATTAAGTTCCAGGAAAAGCTACATTAATTTTTGATCCGATTCATTAATTTCTATAGCTCCACCACTTCATCGGATGCGTTTCAAAAACTTCCTTCTAATTCTATGTTAACTTGCCATTGGTGTAAAGTTGCCCAATTCAATTTCGATATCTTCATTAATTTTGAAGTTAATTTAACATTCAAAGTAATTCACACGAATCCTTTTGACTTCATTTCACGTTGTATTTTCTGCAATTATGAAAGGCCCTTCCGTGAAATTTTTTGATACCCATCGACCACAAACTATAATTTTGAAAATCCAGCCCAAAGGAAGGGAGCCCTGTGTATTTTTTGTATTTTATTTTCGTCACTAACTGTGGCAAAGGGATGGTCCCATTCAACTTCCCCTTCACGTTTGCCGCTACGGTACGTCTTCATCATCTGAATTAATAATTAATTCCCTAGAACTTTGCGGAAGATCTTCCAATCATTTCACGCTTGCCTCGTTCAGCCATATTATTGTTGTGCTACTGAATCTAATTTATTAGACTACGTTCTTCTGCATCAACTTCATATGGATTTCTTATGGATCATAGTGGATTAGTCTTGGGCAAATTTTTCTGTTATTATGAATGTTGCGTATCGTTACCTGATTTATGGATCATAAAAGAATGCTATTAGCTAGGCTACGAGGCAAGATGCAGGCTACGATGTTAGCTAATTTTGTACTTTAAGTCTATTTAAAATTAGTATATCTGTAAGCAAGAAATAGTGTTTATTTAATCATCACAGAAATGGTTGGGAATGAAAGGTCGTCAATTTTAATTAAATTCGAAAATGCACAGGTTCAAATGCAGTTTTATGTAACTTTTTTACTATAAACTCGGTGCCAATTCTATCAGTGAATTTAGAACATTTGCAGCTAATACGAGTGGGATGACTAGCTACTGCTTACAGTGTGATCACACTGTTACCATCGCCACAGTTTTTTTGGGGGAGGGGGGTAATTTTGGGCACGATTTTGACTGTTATCGATGTCCTAAAAATGTAATGCGGGCCTCTAATGCCACAAAGAAACGGCTCTTCAACGCGCGTCATCTTCTCATTCCCTGAAACGGCCAGAAGCGCAACACTTGACCGATCGTGAGCGTAGACTGAAGCTTATGCGTGATTCTAATAGATATTATTAGATTATTAATAAGTAAAATTTTTATTGTATTATATATAATCTTTTATATAATGCTTAGTTTTGCTTCAGCTCTTCTTTTTTAGTTTAAAAGTTATTTTGAGCCAATACGTTTGGTATCTCGTGAGAGTGTCGTAGATTAAACTAAGAGTGTTATAGATCATAGCTGCCGCGTGAGCCACTACACATGTTAGGTAAACTTGTGACGAACGACTGACTGCAGACTTAACAATGACCCGTACAGCCACATTAAAAATATTTCATCTTGATAATTATGTTATTCATAACACCTATCTTCCTGAGAGTAATCTGTGCAGATACCTTACCACTGTATTTTTCGTTCTTTACATCACCTAACACTCGTACAAAATTGCTAGTTTCTTCACAATAAGTTGAATGCCACTTGTCTATATAGAGTCGAAACCGTGTTTCAGACACCGTAGATTTACTATCAAATATTCGCAATAGGTTTTTTGACACAATCTTAGCATTTGAAGCTATGTAACTCCCACTAACTATGCTACAATCATCCTTCGACCCGCAATTCATGCAGATGTAACGAAGCGAATATCGTTACTTAAATAAGTGCAATGTCAGCAGCAGCGTTAACTCGTAGCATTGGCTTACGCAATAGCAACAATTTTGAAGACTCTATTTAATTCCTTGGCTTCGTCTCAGTTTCTGCGACCACGTTTTTGTAGAACGTACATTCTGAGTCATTGTGCCGTACGTCGGACACTATATAGCTGCTCAGACACTTAAATCGCATTGAACCGAGTTCCATTTCCTTCACTTGATGACAAGATCAAGTTTTTAGCTGTGATATTTCAGTACATGCTTTTAGTTGCTGTTTCTCACGTATCACGTAACATAAATTTGTGCACCAGTGTTGCGGAAATTGTAGGTAACTATGTTGAGTAATTTTTATCACGTCCTTACAAGAGCAGCTTTTACGGGTCTGTGAAGTCAGAAACGCCCAATGGCATAAAGCTTTTGTAAATTCTGTCATGACAACTGAACAGAAAGCATATCCCAGAGTTTTCCTAACGATACGAAGTCAATCATCTTCGCATTCTTTCAAGCTGGGGATGCAACTGCTTCAAGATCGTCCTCTCATAAGCCTTACACTGTTCTAACGTAGAGTTCTCCTTTCTCTTAAGCCTGAAGTTATAAAGGTCCTACAGATTTGAACCAGATTTTAAGTTCGTGCGGTGCCCGACTAACATCCCCGGAAATTTTTACGGTTCCAGTCAGATTTTTTGCGTCAGAAATACCAACGCTTGAAATGATTAGTAACCACTGTATGGGATACTCAAATAGAAGTAGCCTTTGATTTTGCCCTCTCCTTCTAATTTCTCTCCGTCAGTGATTCGTATAAATAATTTCCCTTTTCATTGATAAATAGATTTTGCTTCCACCTTTCCATATCTGCCTTCGGCTCGCTCTCGCTTACCAACCAGTACTCAATAGCCGCCATTTCCCCGAGTCTGCCTAGCACCATCTTTACTTTATTGAACTAAATTTGCTGTCTACACAATTCACTGTCACTTCATTCATCATTTCGCATCTCTTATTAAACAGCGTAAAGATAAAATTCATCTGTAGTCATTGGTTTGAGTCCGTTAGTTGACCAAGGAGCTGCCGGTTCCCCGACTTATTACCCTTTTTTAACTCGTTTCATCATTTCCGCCCATATATGACCTGCACATTTATACTTCTTCTGCACACACTAGTTAGCCAAGTTATTCAGTTCTTCAGTAATTCCATTGACTCTTTTACGAAACTTCGTAACTTATCACCTTTCGCCCTACAAACCTGAACCTGACATTCAAACACTGCATCGCCTCATCGCCTCTACTCTCACGCCTGCACTGCATGACCGTCTGCTCTGAAAGATAGTCAATTTTTAGATTTAGTCGAAGACTTCATCTTTAGTTCGTTATTTTAGTTGACTTTACTGCGCTCTGAGACTTGAGTAAATGGGTGAGTTTTATTTCCTCATTGAATGTCTAATTGCTTTTTTTTTCCGCAGCTACAGTAGTAGTCATAATCAGGCTTCTTCCTATTTTTTTCCTAACTTGACACCTTAGTTTTTCCCATTGTGTAGTGTAGCTGTGATATTTTCTGCGATTATTATTATTATTATAATTTTATCATTTTCTGCATGCTTCACACTTGTAACAGATTGATTTTCTTCGCAGCAGTTAATTAATTAATTGAGAAGTGCATGTACTGCAAGCGGCGCTCACTACAGCAGTGTTACTAGCGCACTCTTTCCCTCTGTTCTACGGGACCAAATACTCTTGATGACAATCCTTTGTGAGGAGCAAGTGTCATCATTTGGAAATTATGATGGGCAAGTGCCATCATCACTTGGAAGTGATGATTGGACCGATGCCATCATTATTTCGCCTCTCGATTCTCTCGTTACCACTCGGCGTTTCAATTACGACCGTGTCATGAAGACGTGACAGGAGGTGAAGGTATAATTTTAGCAAATGTTTCGCTGTTTATTTGCGTTAACGATTTGGTGAGTGAAATGTGTACCACGTGCACCATGACCTGGTTTTAGTCATGTCTTCTTGTGAATGATGGATGTTCTTGCAAAGATCGTGGCTGGATCCGGATGAATGTTTGATTATCGAGTGCAGTTTGGTGAGTGTGTTATCGCTTCTTCAACTTACATTCTTCTACTGATTCATGAATAATAGCAAGAATTTAAGCTTCACTTATCAATTGAAAGTATATTTTTCGATATTTCTTTCGAATTTTTAGTCATGACGTAGATTACTTCATTGAATATCCATGTAGATTGGTCGTAGGAATATACACCCAATGAACTCTGGCGTCATTTGTTTTAACTGTGCTCTATTTATTTCCATGTAATCCTCTCTCTCATCTTGGGTACATTATTCTAACAGGTTGGTACGCGTGTCGTCTCTTCTATTACAGGATCGTATCACTGTTCTTAGAGGACCCCCAATGTTCTATGTTCTTTCTAACTGTCTGTTCCTGTAGCCTTAACTGTACCTTCACGGTCTCTAGACGAGAGATGGTTGATCTGTAATTCCCTTGCCGTGAGTGGGAACTCTAAATCTCTAAGACCTTCATTAGTTACGAGAGCCCAGCTTCTTTCAGTGCACGATAAACTTAATATCTTTCGGAACAGATGAAACTCTTAGGAGCTAGTCGAAAAATAGGATGTTAGACTACGTTTTGATGTAATGTTTTTTTCAATAGTGCTGCTCTCTTAACAACACGAAGGTCCGAGAGAGTTATACCGGTGCGCATCCCGCTCATGGATTCCGCCTTCTCCTCTCCCTTCCTTGCTTTGGTTGGAGATGTTATGTATGTGTTCACCCGCTTAAGTTGTGTGTCTGTGCGCGCTGTTCGAAAGGCGCAATTCTTGTGTAAAAATCTTGACCGAACTTCGGTGGCCTAATTAACGCACTCCTTATAAGAGTCCAGAATTTTAAGTTGATGTCTGCTGCCTGGAGGGGTGGCCAAGATGTTTAAGATTAAGGTGGCCGGATTGCGGTGTTATTCCATTGTCGATGCCATGTTTATGTGTTCCGGCTTCTTTACCGAGGTGGGCTAAGTGTGCGTGATTGGGTGTGTTAGGCGAAACATTACCTGCATGGTAATAAACACGACGGATGTTACGTGGTACGCTAGGGGACTTTGTTGCGCCTGGTCTGTCGCGGCTGCTCCCGTCTTGACGGTTCTATTAAAATAATAATACCGTTCACGATGCTGCTCACGATACTGCTGTACGAGGTAGCTGCAACTGCATTAAATTGGGAGCGCTCAATTTTCCAGATACCCTTTCATATTATTCCATTTAAATTGCCATAACTGCTTTTCTAATGAGTTTGTTAGACTCATTTAACTGATTTTTTTTCTAATGAGTTTGTTTCATTTATTTTGTAACTGTAGGTGTTAGCTCCCGTTTAGTTGTTTGTTTTACTCCCTAACCAGTAATATCTGAACATTCTGTTTGCTCCAAGTTTCATATTAGTTATCCCATCCCATTGCAGTTGAGAGTTATTCGAGCATTCAAGTCGAACCTGGAAGATCTGGAAGAGCGCCGTTCAAGCCACAGTATTCAGGGATTACAGACCATACGCAACTCTCGGAACGCGCTCTACAACAGATCAGACCATCACTACACGAACACTGTGGGGCCCCAAAAATCGCCCTCTGCGGATGCTGGAGCATCTTCCGCTTCTGCAGCAGCTACTGCTGGTGGCGAGACCGAGCTACTAGTTCCACGCTCCCCACCCTCGTCTAATCCCTCTGCTACTACTCAAAGTACTAAACATCACCGACACCGCTATTCTTCCGCTGCTCTCTCTACTGAACACTTCAATAAGCTCGTCTCCCAATCTCTCCACCTCAACATGGCTGTACACTCGAACACACTCGAACCGACCTACCTTCCAGTTTTACCAGATTTTCCAAACATGGTCCAAGAGACCAGCATCTGACGCAACTTTCCACGCTTTGCTACGGGAATTTTGGCTTGTTAACGCACTCCCGCACGCCTTACTTTTTCTGATGTTCAGTTTGCCTTAGATCTCACAGTTATTGGATTTAACTTGGAGTTTGCTTCTTTTTGAATGCCCTTGTTTTAATATTTTCCTTATTTATTACTTTTAATGAATTTATCCAAATTTAAGTGAATTTTTTTTGTCTCCCAAAAAGTTTTTCTGAATTTGCGCCAATACTTCTTTACGTTTTGAGTTTTCTTCGCGTCCCCTATTCTTGTGGATTTTTTTTCAATTAATTTCTATTTCTACTTGTTTTCTCTCATCCTGAAGTATGCTTGTGACAGCTTCCTTCATATCACAACATTCTTGTAAGCTCAACCCGTGGCCCTGCAGACATTTATGCAACTGCTCTTATGACACATAATTGATGTAATATTTTCATGTTACGTGTAAATTTCTTAGGCTAGTTTTAATGTGTTCGTTATAACGTAAGACAAAGTTGTAAGCCAGAAATTTAGACTGGAAGAAACTCGAGCTTAGTGACAAATTTTCGTACGGAGGCTACAGACGTTGCAAATTGTACTGCTGTCGGGTTCGTTCTTGCACGAATATTCCCCAATGAGGCACCAACACAAGACGACTCCACTTCTGAAGCATTTCAAACACCACAACACTTCTTCTTGGAAGTGTTACCGTTGTACACTTCTACTCCAACTTAGCCTTCTCTCCACCTTCACTGCTACTCTACTACCTTCACTACTACTCTACTACCTGTCATTCTTCCTTAACCCGTGGATGTGGTGCGCTCTTCTTGCTAGCCTAGTCATGGTAACTAACACTAGATAATCGAACTTTCAGTTTTAAGACTGATTGTCTTCGTTTCTTTTATATGGTTGCCCGAGGCGTGGATAGCACTGCATGTGACTGCCTCTTTATTTAGATTGCCTCTTCATTTAGATTGCTTCTCTAGTGATGTTAGTTTGCATTCCTCTGTTCTGCTAATACCAAGTTTGAGGACCTGAACTGTGACTGACCTGCTCCACTTGATACTTCCCAACCTTTGCATCTCTGACCGAGTGTGGCTGGACTTGTATTAGGTAGAATTTTAGTGATGAACCGACATATGAGATACCAAGTAGCTCCCCGGGACCCTCCTCCGAGAATCAACTGATCTGAAAATGCGCGTCCCGACCATCCAGACTTGACTTGTCTAGCTGCTTGCGACACTTCCTGTAGAATTTATTGAATGAACCTTCTTTGTGCCAACGCATTCAACACTCTGTCATCGTCATCCACTCCACAAGAAAAACAAAACACGGCAAACACTTGATTTTGTTTACATCATGATTACAAAACATTGTTCCTCATTCTCTCATCAGTTACTTGTATACTTCATTAACTTGTGTGCAATTTATTTGGGCGTTTGAAATTTTCTTTTATTTCTCGTTAATTAACTGCATATCTGTGGTTGTTATTATTTCAAACTTAATTATTTTTGGAGTTTGTGTGTTCACGTCGCCGAGCTCTAAGTTACTTACCTACTTGGTTTCTCCATTGTAGCACACTAACAAAATTGACTTGTATTGCATCATCACGTCAGGTCTTGTGTCGCTGCGCCGCCCCTTTGTTCCTCATGATATTATCTAGCGATATAAATACCTGATGTTTTGTTTTTGGCCACTGCCGTGGTTCTGAGCAAATGCGTTTGTTATTCTCTTCGTTAGGAGGATGAGGAAGGCGTTACCCTTGAGGGTGGTGAGGTATGAAGCCCTGGCAAAACTAGCAGTACTTTCTGTCTCTCTCTCTCTCTCTACTCTTTCTCTGTTCATGAGCCCAAAGTAATCTTCGGATGTGAGTAGTTGTGTCACACCGAGGCGTTAATTTGACCCCGGCTACAGCGCTCCTTTTATAAATAAAAAGGCTTGACATTCCAGGCCCAATAACGGTCAACACCCGCTGCCTTGATATTCAATAAACAGTCGCTAGTCGTCCCACTGTAGCCTTCTACTTGCTGCGCTCATGTTTCCAATGGATTTTATTATTATCTTAGTTGGAGTTTGTGATCCTTGTGCATGAAGATGTGTTTCTTCTCCAACGGTCCTGGAGTCACACATATCGTGAGTCTTCTCCCCTTCACTTGCAGTCTTCTATTTTATTCTAAAACATTGATTGTCATTATTAACAGCTAATGAATGACTGCAATTTCGTGATAAAATAACCACGGAGTGTTCAATGTATAAAGAAAAGGTACTAAGGATACCATGGATTGGTAGTTAAGCGCAGCTTTGACTTCTTCTAAACCAACACCAAATGAAGTTCTGTAGCTAATAAGCGAAGTTCTAAACGCGAGTAGACTTGTTTGAATTATTTCCTATCTCCCCGCGCCCTTATGTAATTACTGCTCTTACTGTCGTCCTTTATTGAGTAGTAATCTATTTGTGACTCTATAAATATTTATAAATAGTTATAAATATAATATACATATTTTGCTTTTACCGCTAATCATTCATCAATTCCACTATCTGCCAATCATTCTAGCTGTGAGACCCTAGCACTTTAATTATTGTAAATACACACACGCACACTACGAGACTACGTCATCGTACCAGACGTAATGCCCTCCTCTCACCCTTTGTCCTCGTCTTCTTTGGTTTCCGCCATGTCGGGTCGGCGTGCCTTCATGTAATGACCTAACATAAGACAAGGAGAACCCGTGTCATATTATCTTCCTTTGAGAGTAAACTTCCTTTTAAACATTCATACAGGAGTTTGTATTTTTTTAAAGACTACTCATTAGAAGACAGACTCCTTATCTTTTGTTAAGTGTGAGTGAGAGAGTGTCATGTTTCAGCGTGCCCACTGTCGCCTCTTAGCTATTCTAACGCGTAGTGGTCAGGGCTCTAATGATTCTCATGGTTCAGGTGATCGGAGGCACGTTGCAGGAGCGTCTCATTCCCGTACCGTATAGCAAGACCTCCACTGACCAGGCTGTAAGCTCCTGTCTTTTATCCCAGGCTGCTTCTAATCTTCTACTCTTCTTTGATTTAGAGGCCAGCCAAGTGACTGCTCGATCACATCGCTGCCTCTCATTTCTCAATTTCATTCTATGCCTCTTGTCTTTTTTACGCCGCCGCTGCTGCTGCTCGTTTCTTTAAATCGTCCTAGCAATCATAGGCTTGCTCACGCCACTCTTTACCCATTTGAATGCCCACAATTTTTCATCTAGTATTGACGCCAAAATGAGGACTTGAGGACCGTCCTAGATCCTCTACCAGGCAGTCTCTTACACAATTATTATATCTCATGGGAAGTCAACTCATTTCCCTCATAAATGATTCATCACTGTTGTATTATTATGTAAAAAATCCCACTCTTATAAATTTTTCCCTCCTGCCCTGATTAATTCATTCGAGTTGAGCATGAGTACTCCCCTTGTACTTGTGTAAGAGGCCCCTAAATAGATGCCATCCTGAGCTTAGTTAGTATTGTTGCATGATTGGTTAGTTCAACTGTGTAACTCCAGTCGACTAGCCTATTATTAAGGAAATATTCATGGCTCTACATTTCTCTATTTCTTGTTGTCATTCGTGTTGTGTCGTATCTATATTGGTGTTTTTTTTCTAAACTAGGTATGTGTGCCTCTTAGATACTCTTTACAAGATGGAGATGTCTTATATTTGTGAAACCACCGGCCTGATGCATGCACATTTTACAACGTTACCATTTTAACGAAGCGTATTTGTGTGCTTTTTTTATATGCAAAACACGTCTAAAGTCGGAGTTATCGTCTGCATGTGACCATGGAATCCAAATAACGATTTTTACTGCGATTTTTTTTTTTTGAAGTGGGATGTGGGATTAACTGTTTTATTATACATGTCAATTTATTTTTTTCTCAAGCGCTGAAATTTCCCCTTTTTCATGAGAATTTCTTTACATGGGCTTGAGTCGTCAAAGTTTTTGAAAGACATGAAATTTTTTGTTTTTTTTTTTTTCGTTTTGTTTGGAGCGAGCTAATAACATCACACATTTGACACAAATTTTGAGCCGGATTAACATCACGCATTTCACACAAATTATGAGTCGGATTAACCTCACGCAGTTTTATTCAATTTCGAGTCGGATTGACATTAGATAAATGAAATCATTATTGACTCGGATTAACATCGCGCAGTTTTTGCACAGAGCTTTGTTCAAGCCAAAAATTTGGGGCAGACTATTCTACCATAGATGGGGGCGCGTCATACATGCGCATGGCATGACGGACTTCCTGGCATGTCTACACTCTTAAATGTTCTCTGTCGCGCTTGTTCTCGAGACAGTTTTCAGCCAGCTGCGTGCAGTACTCTCCCATGCTCCAATTCTTTAAAGAAATGCGATTAATTTCCATTAAAATTATTCCTGAGGTAAACTTTATTGTTCTTTCTTTCACGTGGGAATGATTATTAAAGTATCGCTCGGCTTCTCTCTCTTCGATTGAATTTTCCTGCAATTCTATTCTTTCTCGATTCTCTCCGGATTCACTGCTTCATAAACCATGTCATTCAAACGATAACCCTGCTGCTGTGCTCTTACCCTCCTCGTATTTGCGTTTTAGCTTACGAGTTTCATGTCTTATATATCTGTAAATATCATCACAGTTCCCACCATTATTAACCTTTTTCTTGAAAATACATAAATTTTTGAAACCACATGATTCTTAACTATGTGTGGTGAATATTTTTAACCAATTAATTTTAGTTGTGAGTGTATCTTAACGCATGCTAATGGAACTCTATGGAAGCATGTTTGCGTTGTGGGGTTGTACGGTGGTAATCACTGACAACTCGTAACGCTTTTAATTTCCCTGAATTTACTGTACTTGTCTTACAACCTAGTAATACGACATCCAATATATTGTCGATTGGTTATTTTAAAACTTTAGATTAATGACTGACTCGAATGAAATAGATGACGTAAAAATGCTTGAAAAAAAATCCTAGCTAATCTGACGCGCATGGACTGCTATCGTCCTTTTGATGAGGTCATATAGAATGTCGACGCTTTGAGTATAAAATGAGTTAATACAAAAAGCTAGCACTACTCCGTGCTCGTCTCATGAAACGTTTTCATCTTTTTCAGATTCGAGTTGTTAATGCGTTCCGACAGGGATTGGATGCGCGCCCATCGAACCCGAACTTGGCAGCGGTGCTGAGGAAGCAATCGTCGCTGAGCAAGCGGCTGTCCCAGGGCTCTTCTCTTGAGTACACTGACATGTGCCCTGAGCCTGAGGAGCTAACTGTGCCAGAAATCGACGTGGAGCGACTTTCTTCGCATAGTCACACGGAAACAGCTGTGTAAAAGTCGTCTTATTGAGGAAATTGATCAACTGCCTGTATAGTCTGAGCCAACATTGCCCGAATGTATTTAACGGTTTGAATCGTAATTTGATTGGCCCTCGCAACGAGTATCAAAGCTGCGACGTTCGCTGGTATTACAACTCGGTTTGTGAGAGAATGTGAACGATGTATTCAGTGTGACCCAGTATCGGAATTTGAAAAAATTGTGTCAGAGTATGTCTTACCTCAAAATGAATACCTTACTACTTCTGTCGTTAACGGACTATTATTACCTAACATAACTTTAACTACTTGGCTCTCAGTGTTCCACACTGCTTGGAGCTGCTGTATCTGCTCTGATGTCCTGAGTAATAACTGACATTCAAAAACTCTTGGTGAACGTCGAGCATGACTTTCGTTGCTTGCGATGCCCCTCCTTCTTCAGATACTCGTTTCGAGTATTATAACAACCCTGTTAGCATGCGAAACGGTGAATAAGATTATGTACTTACTTCCTGGCGTTAGTGTTATATCTTTGGTATGGGATGACGCCGCAGATCGTGCACCGGAGAGAAATTTGTTGGTGTTGAGCTTTCGCTGCACGACGCTGAACCGGGACTTGACTGTACAGCCAACCACAACCTTCGTTTCTCATGTCCCACTGTTAATAGTCTTGTGTATAGTAAGGGTTGTTATTGCATAGTCTACCAATTATAGTAATGGTAAAGGGTTTTCGCCAGAGGGTTAGATCTGTTGAATATTACTATGGACAAATTAATATACTTGTAGTGGTGGTAACCTACGTAACTTAAAAAAGAACTTGTGGACTTGTATATTTAAATGTTCTTGGTTCTTGTTTTCTAAAGCAAATCATGTTGGCTGTTCCTGATAGTCTATACAATTGTTTTGTTTATGTTTGTCAGTATTGTTTGGTATATTTGATGTGCGTTTGGGAATGACAGTGTTGTGGAGTTTTCACAGCGCAGGAAAATTATTTCTCTTGCGCCAGGCACTTGGCCTTTAATGGCTTTGCATTTATAATAGTAATATCCATCAATAACTATCTTATGAAGGATTTTTGAACTTAGTAGTTCGTTGATTGATGGCACTGAACATTCGATTGGCAACTTATACATCGGTATTCGTGTGTCACTTCGGCCATGATTAATTGGTATCGGTAAGGTATAAGTGCGGGTTATGATTGTGGTGGTAATGGTGATGTCTGACGTGGTGAGCCGTGTGGCTCTGTTGGTTTGATGTTAGGAACAGCATGAAATGATTGTTGAAAACTAAGAAAGAACGGAGCCGTGGGTGCGATTGTTGACTCAACTGCCTGCAGTATTTGCTCGATCGCAGTTACGAACGATGAAGTCTAGTTTCTAGATCACACTTCGTACGTTTGGTTGCGTTGCGACGATTTTCGTTTTTATTTTCGTGGTGAATTCTGTCTGCTTCGTGCGTGCGTTCGACCACTGGAGTCCTCGGTAGTCTCGTCGTTAGCTTAGCATTTGCAAAACTAGAGGTTCTGCAACGCTTCATTTTACCCTCGTTCTGCGTAAAAAGAAATCACTAACGTATAGCACAACTAATTTTTGAACGCCTATTTTAATTGTTAACTTCTTGCGGAGCGACTGTCATCCACATTCCAGCTTTCTGGAAATTGCTTATTCAAGTATAAATAAAGATCCCAGTTTAACAGCTATTTTAACATACTTTGACACCTCGTTAACTCGCGTTTGCGGAACTTTATAGCATTCACGAATTTTTCTATCCGATTTCTGTTCAGTAATTCAAGACGTGCAGCAGACAAGCTAGAAGGAAATGTTTCTTTTATTACCGAATCGGTCGCTTAGATTTATTATATGTTCATCCCATGTAGGTACAATCATTTGTGAAGGAAATCATTTTAATGTTTTATAATCTCTGCTAAGGATCTTTAATTTCGCTAAGAAGCAAAGGCCTCTGTGTCAACAACATATACGCTGATTTTAGTAGGTAATGTTTCTAATTCTAACTGTTCTTATCATGGTGAACGTAATCATAAGGAACTGGTTCGATCCATCGCGCACGATTCATATCTGCCGTTATTTTCAATTTACCCTTCCCATTACTCGGCCCCCGCCACCCCTGTCCCCTCGGAGTCCTGTTGTGTGATCCTCCTTCCCTTCTTGCCGAGGGTTCAATAATCCCCGCCCAAGTTTCCATTATCGCCGGCAGGTGTTGTCTACATGTGCGTGAGAGGCCGTTGAGCCCCATCTGAATAGGTGTGGCAAATATGCAGTAGATTTTAAGAGTTGTTCTGGGCTGTAAACCGATCTGTCTCACAGGAGTCAACAACTGTAGCAAATAGCGAGAGGTTACTTCCATTGTTTTCTCGTAGTCTTTCGAGCAACTGAAGTTTTATTCCAGTGTCGATTCAAATAGTTGGGATAATCGAAAATAAGGTAATATCATCTATGAACGTAAAAATCTCGTCTAATATTAATAGTAATATCCAACAGTTATCAGCCTCAACATCTATTGATATTGATTGTAGGCATCAATTAGGTTCCCCTTTGATGTGTAAAGGAAGTGAAAAACTTCTATTTTGAAGGGCTTTATATGAAGCAGCCAGCAGCTGTAATTTTCGCTGTCAGCTTCTAAATCGTGCCAGAGGCAGTACTATTTTCCCGTCTTTGCACGTGCCACACTAAAGCTACTAACAGCGCATGGCTATGGACCGGTTTGCTCTCTCCACTACTGCTGTCTTAAAGTTCAGTCCCTTCAAGTGAAAGGCTCCAACTCGCCTTGTTAGACACTTTTCGTGGATAAATACGGCTTCTATTGTTGATAGGAAAGAACATTACTTGTTGCGTTTGTTAACTTTAAAAATACAGATTTTCAAGAGTCAACTTTTACTTATTGCAACCTTTACAACGTAGAGACAATGTCTTATTTTAAAGGAAGAAATTTTCGTGGCTGCCCGAGTATTGAGGAGAGATGAAGGATGACTTTGATCCGCCTCTTACTACGGTTGTTCTAACGGAATTTGTAAGGCTGCTTCCTCGAGAGGCCTTTACTTCAAGTTCACGTAATGCCATTGGTCAACTGGAAAAGCAATTTTGCATTGATTCATCTAAAACAATTTGTGTCAATAAATCTCTTCAGCTGTTATCAACACAACTAAATCAAACAACATTGAAAAAACTAATAGCAATAAATTTATTCAAAGCAAACCTGAACGGAAACCAGCTATATCAACATCATCTTACCTTTAGGATCCACAGCAGCAGGTTCGCCATATTCTGCCGTCGATGTGATGATTTGAGAAGCTTCTTCAGCCGAGAGCGTCTGAGCGGCATATGGTACAGTCACAGCTCTGATGTCCAGTTCTCCTTTGTCCGACTTGCCAGACACCAAATCCCGCCATTGAACATGCGTGCCCAAGATTATCTGAACGCAAATAACAAATTTAGAAATCTGCAATGATTTTAAACGGATTTTAAAGCTTGGCAACGTAGAGGTAAGATACATATATATATATATATATAACAGAATTGCAATTTTCATCATTTCCGTAGTTGATCTAGCGAACGTGACTGAAAGTCAGCTACAGTCAGCTATCAATTTTTTTTTTCATTATTAATAACACGAATAACTGCTACTTCGATGCAACACCTGATGAGCAAATTCTCTATCCTTAGCCTCTCCGTTGAAGGCGAACTGGTTCTCAGGTTTGCCATCAGGAACTTTGTAGATTTTAAACCACTCGACGGTGGCCTTCATGAAGCCTGGCATGTGCAGCTCCACATCGCCGATGTCGCTGAGCTGGGGTGCCAGAGGGTCGTTCACGTCGATGGCGATCACTTTCCAGTCAGTCTCGCCCTCGTCCACCAATGCAATGATGCCCAGCACCTATAAAATTCACGCAATTATTAGCCGATATAATTACACGCCTGAAAGCCTTGTACCAGCATCTTCTATTCAATTCATCAACACCATACCACGGGATTTTGCAACTTCGGTAACACGAACCTTAATTCGAGAGCGGAACAAGAAAAAAACTTATGTGCAAGGCTATGTGGTAACATCACATCATCATGGGATTTCGCAATTTCAACATGGTAATACCCTAGACCGCATGGGAAACAAGATAGAATGATATAATTTATTACAAGTATTACAGGTTTATGGATACTAACGTTAAAAATTGACGCTGAAATTGCTATCTACACAACGAACCTTGACTTGAAGAACATCGCCGGGTTTAGCGATCCTGTAGCCGATCTCGCACACATCGATGGGGTCGTTGTCGCCCTTCTCTCCGGTGGACTCGTCTATGTGGCTTGGGTTTTCCCACGTCTGCAACCACAAAAATATTAACACAATCGTCCCTGATTTGCCTATCAGTAAATGGGGAAAAAATTTCATCATCAAATTTTAAGGAAGTAAATCACCAGAGGAATTAAGTCGTGAACCAATAACATTGAAGCGCCATTATTGGCATAACTCAAATGAACCTAGAATCATGCTCTAAGGAAATAAAATTTTACGACAGAAGATAAATCTAAAATTTGAAAGTTCATATCGAGCTATCACATTTAGAAGGTTCTTGTCTAACACCAAAGTTTTTTTTTCACAAAAAAAATCGGGTTGATTATGAGCACAATCGCATGGGAACCATGAAGCCAAAATTCATAAATTTTATCAAATTGCTAATGTCTAGACGTATAACCAGAGGCGGGCAGTAGCGCGCTACATGTAGAGGCCGCTACATTTTCAGTAGCGGTAGCGGCGCAGCATTTAAAGCAATGTAGCGGTAGTGGTAGCGCCCGCTACATTTAGAGCATGTAGCGGTAGCGATAGCGGCCGCTACATTTAAAAGTAGCGCTGCCCAGCTCTGCGTATAACTGTATGCTTCGAGTTAAGTTATAGTAGCTGATTTATCCTGACATGAAATTTATGTAAAGTGGAAGCCAGCTTTTACGGTATTAGTTCTCAAGTAGTCCAAATTGATTTATTTCGAGACCATGCAAACGCCATAATTATTATAATAAATTCAAACCTGCGGCAAAGCTCCGTAGTTCCAAATGTAGCCATGGTGCGGGAAGACGTTAGCAACGTAGCGCAGTTTGCCTTTCTTGATGTCTTGTTTAATCGGGTTCAAGGGCTCCTTGGTGGCGATCTGAGGAGAAAATAAATTCAAATTCTATGTTTGGCAATAAATGAAGCTTGTTAAATTGACCGGTTCTCCTAAGCAATTTTAAAACATATGACGATTTTATAGAACCTACGTTTGTTGGTCGTTCTATATCAAATTGATGGCACGAGCTTATAATTACAAGAAAATCTAATTTCCAGATTGTATCGTTAAAAGAAGGAATTCGGCTTCGCAATAAACTAGGCTTGGCAATGAACAAGATTGTTAAAACAACCGACTTTCCAACACGACTTCAGAACAACAAACGATAACAAGTTGCGATAAGCATGTGCAATATATCAATTGACAAAATATAAATTAAATAAAAAATATTAATTTAATTAACATAAAAATTATTTTAGTATAAAAACAATTTAACATAAAAAATCTACTGTCAACATTGTACTTTAAAAGAGAAATTTTGCATGGTACCTCCATCTTCGCATTAGTCCATCGCGGCACTTCGACCACCATGTTGAAGATCTTGTTGCCTTCGTTCGCAAAGAGAGGAATGTCGTGCATGGGTGAGATGGGGCCATTCTCGCCTTCTGTCATGACAAATAAGTCACGTCACAAAAATAAAATAAAATTTTCTAAATTCATAATCACTTTTGTAAAAATCAGACGGTTAATAAATAAATCACAAGTTTGTTAACATTAACGGCTGCTACAGGGCATATAATAAAATATTGATAAAATACAGATAATTAAACTAGGAAAATTCGGAATCGAAAGCATCGTGACATATCGGGAAAATAATATATTAATTATACAAAACTACATAAAGAGACTGCTGGAGCCTGGAGGTTATCAAGATGAAAGGGCATCATCCCATTCATTATTCTTATTGCAACTACCTATGTTAGTATTTTCTGACTGTACGAATAATTGTGTCTGAAGGCGTTTGAGAATTTCTACATGTCAAGTAGTAGTAGTAGTATAGTATAATGGTTTTCTAGCGCTTCAGCTATCAAGCTATTTCGCAACGGTGGTCAAAAGATAACATCGCCAGCAAGGCGGAAGGTCTCAATTATTTAGAGTCTCAAATTGTTCATCCCCACAAGGGGCGGGAGGTCTCAGATGTCCAGCCTGCTAAAGCTGGCTCGAAAGAAGAAGCGTTAGCATCTCAAGTAGACGAAGTGATAAGGAAGGACAGGTGACAAGGAGGGACAGGTGAAAAGCAACAGAAACTAAGACACGCAAACAAGAGGTCACTTACACGGGACGTCGGCTGCCCGCACGAGAGAGACAGAAGAGAAATGTAAGTAATCCTTCCTATATAATAACTTAATGTAAGGAATCCTACCTACATGATAACTTAATGTAAGGAATCCTACCTACATAATAACTTAATGTAAGGAATCCTACCTACATGATAACTTAATGTAAGGAATCCTACCTACATAATAACTTAACCCCACAACTGAGATCTGCAGTCAGACACCACGAGCTCAGTGGTGGGGCGCTCAGGAACAATCCCCCTAGGAGCGCGAAATCCTATATATAGGACTTCTGACGAGCACAGACACGCGTCAGAAGTCCCCCCTGCGGGGTCTACATGTCAAAACATTTTGAAAATCCATTTTGTTCTGAAAATGTAGTGCTATTTTTCCTATTATATACAGCTTAGTTCATTCAATTCTTGGGTTAATACATTCATTAATTTTCGAGTGATTCAGGAAAACAATGAAAATAAAGGGGTGTACGAATAATTGTGTCGCTAACTGTAGAGGTTTCACGCTAGCCAGAAAACGTCATCAAGAACGCGTCTCAAATTTGTCCAACTTAAAACCAGACGATCGGTGCGAACTTAATAAAGTTTTAAAGTACCGGTAACGAAGCTTGGGTTTCAGACCTGCAGGTAACATATTGTGTTTTTGGCTTTTCCAGCGAGCAAGGAGAACGACAGCAGATGACAAACCTTAGCTTAGTTGATTTTAAACTGTGAATTCAATTCGCACCGATCCTCTGGTTTCAAAGGTGGAATAATCAAGACGCGTTGTGGTTCTGGCCCCGTGTTTTTAGAGAGTGCGAAACATTACTAAAGGCAATACATCTTAAGAACATTACAAGCACATACTATATACACAATCATTCTGCCAAAAATACCTAGACGGATATTGCATCTACTGTTGTTTATAAATTGACAAAATTATTAAGGTAAAGCTCAGAGAGAGACTAGTACTGAATTTCATCTTGAATCTTATCGTTTATCCCCTCAACATTTATCTGACAAAGGGACTGCAGAAAAGTCCTTCAAAATTAATTATCCGATTCGTTCGTAAATTTCTAATCAAACGAGGAACAAAACAGAAATAGTAACAAAAGGATGTAAGACAAGGAACTTTTCTTCGATTAACTATCAGTCAATAACGCGGATCGATGTCGAGCAGGTTTATAGAGCCTTCTGCATGTCAAGCAACAGAATGTAGGACATAATTAGAATCTCACGTGTTTGTAGCGATATTCCTACAATCATAAGACAAACTACTTACAATATAAAATACTTTATACAATATGATTTTACCCTACAATCACAGTTTATACAGATAATTTATTACCGTGTTTTAAGCACGGTATCGACAAAACAATCAAGAAGTGAGCGCGCGTGCGGTCTCTATTGCTTAACATGAACGTGAGAGAGCGAATTGTGATACTTATACGAGTTGTGCATGCTATGTGTCGTCACTGTACCAGATCATGCGAGTCTTGTTTGCATTCCACGTACGCAAGAGTTTAATACGAAAATAAAAACATACTGAATAAGAATGAAAGTCCTGCTCTCTCTGGTCTAAAAAAAGCATGGATCACAGTAACGGGATAAGCGGGAATCGCATTTCGCAGGAGAAAGTGACTGAAAATGTCACATGCATTGCTGCACTGAGTGCGTCTTATGTGAGGGACAGGCTACTTGAACCGAAAAGATTTCTTGAAAATTAATAGAACAGCTTAGGCTATTCAATGCTCAAATTAAACGTAATGCAGCGCATAAATTGCGCCATCAAGATTAATGAAGCAAATAAAACTAATTCGATACCAAATGCATACGATAATATAGTCTGCAATCATTATCAGATACCATACCTAGGATTTTTTCAATGCACCATGCCCATTTAATCGAATTACGCGATGATCATATAACTTACTGTAATATATGGCGTATGACGTATCATGCATTCTCCCCCTTTCAATGGTATAAATTCCTGGGTCTACTCGAGACACTTTCGAAGTACTTTCCCAAGGTTGCCAGTATCCAAAATGGGGATGAAAACCATCATCGCCTCGCTGAGGAAACTTCCCTTGATATGATTTCGAAGTACGATCGCGGTCGGCTTGAACTGGCAAAGCGTTGCCGAGGCGAGACGAAAACGAAGTGCTGGATGCGGGCAGATGAGAGTTCAGTGCTCCATAAATCCCGCTGTTGTCATAGGCGCCGTCAAAGGCTTTCACTCTCCAGATGAAGTCTGAATCGTCTTCGTCGAAGTTCCAGTCAAAGTCATCGTCGCTCCAGGCATCGGGCAACGCCAACACAAACAAAACAGGAACGTAAATCGAAAGCAAGTAGGTGAACATTTTAAACGGGACACCAAAATTATGGAGTAAACAACAATTCAATAATAAAAACTTGTAACATTAGTTTGCTTTCGATGACGATGTGATGAATTTACTTGCCGTTTTCTTAGCTTTTAAATTCTTGGTGAATCAATCTGTGTAATATTTGTGAACGAGGCACCAGCAAACTGACTTATGTTTCTCACGGAGTCAATAACGGGATACGTGATTGAGACACGTAATCGCAATATGATAATTTAAACGGAAAATTTATGCACCGTCCTGACACGGTCAACACAAAATTGCTGGCAATTTAATCGTTACTAAATCACTGCAGACTGGCTGCCGCTAAGCGAAATTTAGACCTGACATTTTTCAAAGGCGAAAGAGACAGGAAATAGAGGCGCGACATGCGAGATGAGACAACATTCCACCACGACCGTCCACCAGCGAATGAAAGAGGCGCACCGCAACGTGCAGATTTATATTCTCGGCTGCAACAGAGCAGCCGGACGCGCACTCAGTCCGAACATCAGTAAAATATGTCATCCGGGAAATCGGAATTACCCATACAATAACAATTAATGTAACTTTAACTAGAATAATTGACTTGAATATGCGTTTTTTATCTTAACATTTAAAATAGAAACAAGCCGACGAAATATTATTCGCCTTATTATATTTTATTGAATCTACCTTATGAGCCTGCAAGCGGCAAAATGTACATTACGAAGAAGACGCTGAATAATTATTCTATCACTATTCGAATACTTTATGAGGCTCGGATGGTATTCGAAAATCTTCAATTTTTCCTAAAAAATAATAAGAAAATTCTATTTTCTCCTGAAATGCGACACAGCCAATCGGACACCCAGCAATTCAAAAATTTTCCCCCAAAATTATCGAAGTAGTCAATATAAAAATTACTACGATTATTAGATTAGCTACTATTTAAAAATCATAGTAGCAAATACTTTCTTAAGTACAAGCATATTCACTAAGATATAAAATCACGTTACATGTTGGGCTTGCGTGAAAAAGTGAAAAATATTCTAAGACCGTGTTTTACAACAAACAATTGTCATTTTGACAACCATTAGAACGAAGCTTTTCTTACACGTAACACGAGGACATTATTATAAAATTATGTTCAAGTAGAATGCCGAATATTATGAAATAATTTGTAAAACTAAATTGACCAGTAAAAAATTGACTATTAAAAACTAGTAAAACTGTGGGATAGGTTAACATAATTTTATAATGTTCGGGCACAATAAAATTATCAGTAACGAGTTAACCGCATGCACCCCGGAGACCAACGATTAGCAGTATGCGAGTTACGACAGTGATACCCAACCTCAAAGACAGGGCACACCGTGACATTAGAAACAAAGCCGTCCTTACTCAACATCGGAAACATCGTGCTCTGAACACAAGAGCCTAAAATATTATTCTGGTGATCCATTGTCATGTGATGACCATTGTTAGATGAATTTTTCAAGGCTACGGCACAATACAGAATAGACGAACTTCTTAGAATTCATTATTCATGGAGCCCACTTAATGCGGAAATCAGCGATCGTTGTTGAGCTACGAAACTATTCGCTTTTCAAAGGTTAGAAGCCTAGAGTTCTCCTTTATTGGGGCGTAACAGGACAGTTGAAGGCTACGCACAAGGTCACAGGACAACTTATTTATGAGCTTCGTAGGATTTAGCATACCAAAGGATAACCCAATGAAACGCACGCATCGATAAAAACGCAGCAACGAATAACAAACTCAACAAACAGGAACTTTAACATACACTATCGCAATGAAATAAATAGTGTGTATGATAGCAACTTTTATTAAAAACCTTATCAGAAAAAGTTTGCGTAAACGAAACGATGCATGCCAAATCACATCTAAATTCAGTTTATTTCTAATACATTTGAATAATCTGAAGAATCGATATCAAAACGTGATGGATGCAAGTCGACAGCAATTTGAATCCTGAAAATTTAAACTTCAAGCCTCAAAATTGGGCATACAAATTTCTTCCACAAGTTTCGCAAACAATTTAGTCCAAACGAAAATTAGCCCTTAGTCTACATATTGATTATCCATCAATTCAGCAATAGACATAATGGGCTCAGCTTCCACATATAGGGGCGCTACAGTTAAAAGTGGTGGTGAAAAGGACCATTGCCTACTCCGCCTCTCAGCCCCGTAAGGGTCAGAGAACAAAAAAATCTGAGCAGACGGTGAGGCCAAGAGTTCAGTTATCCCTTCCCGCCCTAAGGACAGGACCTAGCCTTGAAGTAAGGCGGTGCCTGGGTATCCTGAATACTAACGCGGAATGTTCTTCTGCGTACATGTTATATATATCAAATAAATAGTTAAGGGCGTTAGCACAAATTTATTTGTTTGTGAATGAAGCTTTAAAAATTAATTATGCGGACGTTCACGATTGGAAATTAATTTTTATAATTAAACTCAAGTACCCGTATAGTGGATAGGAATAAACAGTGTTTAGAAAATGTCGTGGATCCAAATGCACACATGTCGCATTTTGATTCATATAACACCATTAAAACGACTCAATTTCGCCCCCCACCTTCACCCAGGCCTGCAACTCATGAAAGGACAAGAGGCTATGCAGGTGTTAGTGCAGCTGCAATGATGTTGCATCAGGTGCAATTTTCGTTTCAACTGAAATAACAGCTTTCTCGAATTCTTCTTTTACTCTATGAAAGGTTGCACAAAACGAGTAGACGGTGGCAAAAATCGATGATTTCAAGTTGACGAGAATCAAGTGGTACTGTAATACATCTATTCCTTTATAGTAATATTCACTTGCTACATAATTTCGGGTCAGCTATAACTACGACTGACATTAAATATATTTCTATGTGATCACTTTCTCGAAAGCATCAGAACTAACGGAAGTATAAGCACAAAACAAACTTAGCCCTAAAAGAAACGTATCACCATTTATAACGCAAACTATTAAATATGAAACAAGAAGCCTTACGATTGTGAAAAAAAAATTATTAAATAGAGATTCTCCCAACTGGGGACACAAATGGAACGTTAACAAAGCGACCAGAAGAAGAAATTCCTCTGAAAGCGGCAGGACTAAAAACTCGATCAACACAAAACTTTCGCCTTCAGGAGAAACTAAGACGAGTTTATCCTCAGCAATAAAAGCAAGCAAAGCGAATTGCTTGCTAGCTTTGCTTACTCCTCAATCGCTACAAATGTGAAAAGCGATTAAGTTCTACTAGTCAAAACTAGAGAACCAATTAATTTGATTTTGAATCATGAATATAAAATTTGAACTCCAATGAAGTATCAACATCACTTCACGATAAAGCAACAAAAACCTCTGGCATCTTCGCAAAAGGATATGTATTTATTTATAGATTTTATCATGACGCAATAGCAGACCGTAGCCAAAAAGATGCGACTCGGCACATCCTGATGCAATTCTTCAAGAATAACTACGATAAATATACGAGGAGCAGTTCATATCATCGATAACAGATAAATTGCAGTGTAGTTAAATTATTAATTCAGACAATACATGTTATACTAGAAGTGACGTAAATAGACAATTCTATTTCTTCTTATAGAATAACACTTGGAATTTCTCATTTTTCATGAAGAAATAAAAACATCAATAATTACCCATGTCAGACGTTATGATCGTACCAAGTGTATATTTATACCTGTGCAATATATCAAGGACCAAAATTCTATAAATAGGCCCCAACACGATAAAATAAGCCTTCAGTAATAAAGAAAATAAACTTGATAAAAACTGCTCTGATGACAAAACAAGCATGCATAGTAGAGTAAACACGCAACTCCGGCACAGAGCCTCAATGGGCTCATTGATTCGTTGAGGTGCAGGCAAGAGGATTCTGTACACTACAAGAGGTGAACAGCATGATAGAGCTGCACAAGATGGAGCACATGCATGCTGCACTAGATGGAGCAGAGTGCTGCACTAGACGGAGCAGAGTGCTGCACTAGATGGAGCAGAGTGCTGCACTAGATGGAGCAGCATGCTGCACTAGATGGAGCAGAGTGCTGCACTAGATGGAACAGAGTGCTGCACTAGATGGAGCAGAGTGCTGCACTAGATGGAGCAGAGTGCTGCACTTGATGGAGCAGAGTGCTGCACTAGATGGAGCAGTGCTCAAGCTGGACATATTAGTTATGTACCCTCACAGAAAACAAATAAAGATATACATAGTTTACATATACATCGGGATTAGGTTGTATGCAGTTGCTTATCAAGGCTATCATAATGTTAAACTGCAGGTTTGTTTATTAACAAGACATTGAATGTATGGTTTCTGAGTCCCAAAGATTTTCTATCAGACAAGGGTAATATATATAATATGCATTTAAAAATTACTTTTTAAAGACAACACTTCTAAAGAGGCCAGTGTCTCTGATGTTGCACATGTGTGATGAATTTCTTATATTGTTTCTTATTATTAAAACAAATTAATTTTAAATTTTTTGTTAACATTAAAAAAATAATTTGTAAACATTTTTATAAATCATTCATTCAGTCAATTCATGCATTGTCTCCAACTTTACACAACTGTGCAAAATTTCAGATCGATTGGAGAGGTAGAAGTGTGTTAAATATTTATAATAAGATTTGTAGCAGACAAAAAAACAAACAAACAACAAGTGAAGTTAAAGAGAAGTGTTGTAAAAAAAATGAACTATTAATAACTAAATATACAAATTACTAAAAATATACACACGAGAGTAATAAGTTATTTATTGATATGGGAGTTCTTTTAAAAAAACATTAATCTCAGATAGATAAATTCAAATAAATGTCAAACATTTTATTGAATTTTGAAGTCTTAAAATTATTCTATCATAAACAATTTCACCCTCATGCATCATTACAGTTTGTGTTGGCTTTAACTGTTATCACTTGACTGATGTTTTAATTAAGTAGGGAATTTAGAGCTGTGCTCAGTATTGTTCTAATATTGAGAAGCAAGACATACATCCCAATTAATCTTAATTGCATTGAAACAGACTTGTGCTTTCATTTCCAGAAAAAACTATCCCTAGCACTTAAAAATGAATCAAAGTCATTGAATCAAGTCTTTTTGTAATGAAAAATAAAATATGCATTCCTAAGGATCTAAATAAATTACAAAGTAGAACCAATCATTCAATCATACAAGTCAAGGCCCCCATGGCCACTGATAGCAGCCAGCTTAAGAAAGATAAGACAATGCAGAGGGAGAAGATGACAGATAAGAAGCCTTCAGGGTCATGGAGAATTAGATGCAGAGCCAATGAGATATTGTGGTTATTTTAATGCCCTATGATAAGTGATAAGGATATCTTACTGCAGAATGACTAAACCTAAATGCAATGTCATCATGACAAACTAAAAATGATATGAACAGCATTGTAAAATAAATTTAAAAGATATAA